GTTTATTTGAAAGGCAGAGAGACAGACGGCTGCCTCCCATCCACTGGCCTACTCCCCAGACGCCACCACAGCTGGGGCCCGGCCAGAACGCAGGCCAGCCTCAGTGTGCATCAGTGGGGTGCGGCGTGGACGCACCGGCGGGCGGGGCTGGAACCGGGCCCTCCAGAGCGCCAACTGCCCCCAGCAGCTGTTCCCGCCGCCGGCACTCGCAGCCAGCTCACATTTACCTTGGCCTGCTTCCGCCCCTTCATCTCCCGGAACTCGGGTGCTGCTCCCTCCACGCGGCAGCGGGCGGAGGGTATCCGGGAAGCTCTGTGCACTGACCGCCCACTTCGCCGACAGTCCGCCACGAGCCCCTCAGGCCCTCCCTGCCCACCCGGGACTTCGAAGCGCCTTACCTGGGCGATGGGAACCGCACACAGGGTGACCCCAAGTCCAACCGCCGCCGCCCTGCGCCAGGGTCTCACCAGCTCCGAGAAGCAGCGCTTCGGCCCGCCGGCCGCGGCAGGAACACATCGCCCGCGCCTGCAGGGACCACGGCGCCGCGTCGGGACGGCCGCCGCAGCCAGGGCAGCCCGGGCTCGGCCGCGGGGGTCGACGGCGCCGCGCCATCGCCGCCGGGAAGGCGAGCGCCCAGGGACCCGGCGGGGCTCCCGGGCCCCGGTGCCTCCCGGAGCGGACGCGCCGACGGGCCGGGACTCGGCTTTTGGCGGCTGCAGTAACTGACCAGCGGTCAGCGAGAAACGAGCCGCCGGCTGGACCCGGGGGCGGGGCGGGGCCGCCTCAGGCTTCCGAGGGGGGCGGGACGCCGGGGCCCAGCCCGGCCGACGAGGGAAGCGCACGCAGGCAGGCCAGCCCCGCGGGCCCCGCCACAGCGCCCTCCTCGTCGCCTCCCTCCCTCCGCTCCTACCACCCAGCACGGCCGCAGAGGTACCTGAGCCAGGCGGACGCACTGCGCGACAGCCAAATCCTCAGAGCCGCCATCCCGCGGCGAGCGGACGCCGGACGCACGCGCCGGAAGTGACGCAGCTCCGTGAGCGGGGAGGGGGGAGCGGCCTCCGCTGGAGGGGACTCGGCCTCATGGGCACGCCCCCACCGGAGAAAGCAGCCAGGATTGGACAGGCCGGAGCGAGGGGCGGGACCTAGGGCAACGGCTGTAACGATCGCGCCCGCTGCCCAACAGCCGGAGGTTCCGTGTTGGGTGGGACGGGCGGCGGGCCTGGGGGCGCAGAGCCTAGTCGGGCGCGAGAAGCTGGCGGGCGGCCTGGGGCTTGGGCCGGGGCCACGTCTCGAGAGGCGGCCCGGGCCCGGACCCGAGGCGGACGGGTCCGGGGTCAGCTGCTCCGAGGCGGGGCGGGCGCGGCGGCGGCGCTGTCACTTCAGCACCAAGAAGTAGGTGGTCCAGCCGGCCAGCAGCAGCGCCCCGATGAGCACCGTGTAGCTGAGGAGCACGAAGGCCAGCAGCTCCCGCAGCAGCTGCAGCGCGTGGATGGCGGACGAGCCCGGCATCGCCCTGCGCGGGAGCCGGGAGAGCCCCTGGAGCACGGCGGCCCCAGCCCCAGCCCCAGCCCGAGTCCCAGCCCCGGCCGTTCCACGCGGGACGCACACGGCAGGAACCGCCGAGGCCCCGGCCTTGGTCCAGCAGCAGAGCGCTCAACCCAAAGGGCCGGCCTCCCCCAGAGCCCGCCCGGACCGCTCTCGGCATTCGCCCCCGGAATTCCTCCCACCCCAAAAGTTGTCCGCCTTCTTCGCTGATCTGGGTTCCGAGAAGCGTGGCGCGGTGGGAGCCTCCTCCCCGGCCCTCTCCTGCCACTCCTGCGTTTTTCGTGCTGCCAGAGGCGCTAACGGGCGGGTGCAGCGACGCCTTTCCTTGCCCTCGCTCGAGCTGCAGCCCCAGGTGTGGGAGGGATGGGAGCCCCGTGGGCCCTCCCTGCAGCCCCTCTGCTTCCCCGGCCGGCCGGCACCTGCTTGGTCCTGGGCTCACCTTCCCCTGGGCCCTGGCGCACCTGTCCTGGCACTTCTTAGCCCAGCTCGGGCGGAAGCAGGGGGGATGCACCACCAGCCTGCTCTTGGCTGTTCCACTGCTGTGGGCCCTGGCCTCCCCTCGGCACGCCCATCCCACTCACTTGGCCAAGTTTCCGAGTCCTGCCCCGCGCGGCTCGCCTTCCTCCGGTGAGAGCAGCAGCACGGTCAGGCAGCAGCGCACACTCAAGGACTAGGTGTGGTCCGGCGGCAATTACACCCCAGAGAGGTTCCCAGCTCGCAGAGCTGCGCAGGCGAGCTCAGCCGGGCGGGGCACTGGCGACCCCGCCCTCCATGTGGCCGCCTGGGCTGAGCGAGCGGGCGCAGACGGTACTTCCAGCCCCTTCTTGCTGTTCCAATCACTGAGGGCGGGCTAGAGGCCAACAGTTCCATTTCTAACAAACTCCCAAGGGGAGCAGCCCAGCCACTCGGTCTGGGAGCCAGAGCCACAGCAGGTGCACTCGGGACCACCCCACTAAGGTCGAAGTCCTGTCTTCAACGGGCCAGGGCAAGCGTGCGGGTGAGAGCTCGGCTCAGGGGGCGAGAGCTAATTTACAGAACCTGCAGCTTACAGGCACCTTCTTGGCCTGCCCACTTCCAAGTCCAACCCCGCCACATGGGAGGCAACGGGACACAGCTGGGGTTTCAGCAAGCAAACAGTTTCCCAGGTTAACAAAGGAAAGCGCGAACTTTGTGCTGCTCCCTGACTACCTGCTTGTTGTACTAGTTTTCCTGAGAGGCTGTTTTTTGACCTTTGAGAAACGCAGGCAGTGTGGCCATCAGGCCTTTTATAAACATCATCATCCAAGAAGCAAATGGCTCCCTAATCCAATCAGGATCTCCCATTATCGAATCATTGCCTCGGCAGACGCAGGGCTAACAGGAGCAGGACATCATCAAGCTGCTCCCCAGGGGACGGGGCGTCGGAAGGGCTCGCAGGCCAGGCCGGCTGCGGCGTGCACCCTGACCCCAGCCCACGGTGCAGCTGGCTGTGGCTGTGCAGAGCCGGCCCAGCTCGGCTCCTCCTCGGCATCAGGCCTTCCCGAGGCGGCCCCCACTCACCTCCCAATCTGGGGTATCTGACAGCAGTGGAGTAACAAGCCTAGGAAGATTACATCCCTTGAAGTTCAAGAAATCCTGCATTACTGCCTTTCCCTTCCACTGTTTGATGAAAAGGCATCCAGCCATCCACAGCTGTGCGTCATCAGTAAACCACACGGCTGAACACATCACACTTGAGGAGTCATTCAGCTGACAGGGGACAGTCTAAGGGATATCTGCGATTCGATGCCTTGCTGTCTTTATGATGGCCCCCTTCCTGTCTGCTTCAGACACCTCATTCATTTTGGTATTCTTAAATCTGGGGGCTGTCATTGCGGAGTAGCAGATAAAGCCGCTGCCTGCAATGCTGGCATCCCATATGGACACCAGTTCGAGACACAGCTGCTCCATTTCTGATCCAGTTCCCTTTACTATGCCTGGGAAAGCAGTGGAAGATGGCCCAAGTCACTGTGGGAGACTCGGATGAAGCTCCCAGCTCCTGGCTTCGGCCTGGCATAGCCCTAGCATTTGCAGCCATTTGGAGAATGAACCAGCAGATGAAAGATCTCTGTCTCTCCCTCTCTCTCTGTAACTCTGCCTTTCAAATAAATCCTTAAAAAAAATTTCTTCTTGGGGCCGATGCTGTGGTACAGTGAGTAAAGCGGTTGCCTGTGACACTGGCATCCCTTATGGGCTCCAGTTCGAGTCCTGGCTCTTCTACTTCTGATCCAGCTCCCTGCTAATGCATCTGGGAAAGCAGCGGAAGGCAGCCCAAGTGTTTTAGGTCCTTGCAACCTACACGGGAGACTCAGTGGACTTCTGGGCTCTGGCTTTGACCTGGCTCAACCCTTAGCCATTGAGGCTATTTGGGGAATGAATCAGCACGTGGAAGACCTCTTTCTCCAATTCTCTCTCTCTCTGCCTCTCCTGCCCCCCCTCCCCCGCTCTGTAACTACTTTTTTTTTTTTTTTTTTTGACAGGCAGAGTGGACAGTAAGAGAGACAGAGAGGTCTTCCTTTGCCGTTGGTTCACCCTCCAATGGCCGCCATGGCTGGTGTGCTGCGGCCGGCGCTTCGCACTGATCCGAAGGCAGGAGCCAGGTACTTATCCTGGTCTCCCATGGGGTGCAGGGCCCAAGCACTTGGGCCATCCTCCACTGCACTCCCTGGCCACAGCAGAGAGCTGGCCTGGAAGAGGGGCAACCGAGACAGAATCCGGTGCCCCGACCGGGACTAGAACCTGGTGTGCTGGCACCGCAAGGCAGAGGATTAGCCTAGTGAGCCGCAGCGCCAGCCCCCAAGATCTTTACAGTTCTGAGAACTAAGTGTCCTTTTTTTTTTTTTTTTAATATTTATTTATTTATTTTGAGAGAGAGAGAGAGAGAGAGAGAGAGTCTTCCATCTACTGGTTCACTCCCCAAATGGCCACAACAGCCAGCAAACAGGAATGGGCCAGGCTGAAGCCAGAAGCTTATTCTGGGTCTCTCACACGGGTGGCAGGGGCCCAGGCACTTGGGCCGTCTTCTATGGCTTTTTCCAGGAACATGAGCAGAGAGTGGATCAGAAGTGGAGCAGCCAGGACATGAACTGGCACCCATATGGGATGCCAGTGTCACAGGCAGTGGCTTAATCCATATGCCACAATGTCCTATTTTTAACATTCCCTCTTTGAATTATTACTCTCTTGCTCCACAATTAAACCACAGTTACAATACTTATTTTGTGTTGGCTAAAACTCAAAATGTATAGTAAGACACAAGACAATGTCTATGTGGATTTCTCTGTTAGGAGCATTGCTGGTGTAGCAGAACTCTGCGTACCGCGCCAGACGAGAGCCCAGACAACCCACCCTCCCTAGGATACAGGTCCCATCCACACACCCTTGCTCACAGAGACAAAGACGACTTCAAGCAGTAAGTGAACCTACACACAGGCGTCTAATAGTTAACTTTCCACTCTGTATTTACATACAGATGAAGCAACTGCCTCATTCCTTCTGTGCCGCGTGCACTTTGGAGCTGACTGAGCGAACACGCGGAGCCCCCAGTGAGCGGGGACACACGAGGCTGCAGCTGGCATCTGTTCACAGGACAGAGGGAGGCCTGAGCAGACTTGCGCTGAATCCCACGAGCCAAACACACCGAGGGACAAGGCGGGCTTTATCCTCTAAAGCAGCTGAGGCTGGAAGCATAGACGAATCTCCCTGGGAGAGCAAGTATTGGAAATAGGCTTTCCTAAAGAATGGTTTTCCATTTTAGAAACAGTTTGGCATGTCCAAATACTAAATGTCAAAGCCAAATTAATTTCATGAGAAGCTCATATTTTAAATATTACCTCCACCACACTTCATTCTTATAATAAAGTGATTAAAAACAAAAAACAAAAACAACATGGGGCGAGCTTTGAGATGAAGTTAAGCCACCCCTTTGGTCACCCCGCATCTCATGTCAGAGTGCCTGGGACTGAGTGCCATCCCCACTTGGGATCCAGGTTCCTGCTAAGGCACCTGGGAGACAGCAGATGGTGACGGCCCAAGTACTTGCAGTCCTGCCACCCCTGTGGGAGACCCAAATGGTCTAGTTTCAGCCTGGCCCAGCCCTTGCTCTTGCAGGCATTTGGGGAGCGAACCAGCAGATGGAAGATCTTTCTCTAATGTTCCTTCTCTCTGTCACTGTGCATTTCAAACCAATAAATAAAGCTTAAGAAACACAGAACTTCTGTCCTACTCATCAGATGCAGTGTAGTGCACTCATCAGAACTCCACCCATGCAAAGGCAGGGGAAATCACGTGGTTCTGATGAGGGGCATAATGTGCAAAGGCCCACCTGGTTCTGGGGACGTGGGCAGGGGCCATCAGCGTGGCCCCCTTCTCCGTGCTCTTCACTCCTCCAGTCCCTGCTGTGGAGCAGGAGGGAGGTAGGGACACACAATGGATTCCAACACTCCACCAACCCCACTCTCAACCACAGCCTAAGAGTCTCCTGCAGCAGGAGCAGGAGCTGCTGAACTCCAAGGTCACGGAGGGGACGCATAGCAGAAGCTGAGGTCACCAGACCAGGGACGGAAACACTGGGCTGGATGTTTACAAGCCAATGGATGTGGGGAGAAAGGCAGGAGGTGGTTACCAGGGAGACGGACCTGCCAGGCGCTGAAGCAGCAAGAGTCATCCCTGTTGAGGGAGGGACGAGCTGGACACTGGGCCCAGGATGGATGGACACAGAGAAGGACTGAAGGCTCAGCAGAGGCACCTGCCACGCCCAGTTCCGGAGGCAACATCGCGCCTCACTGGACGGTGGCATCGCAGAAAGCTGCTCCCTCAGCACCATGTTCTTGAGTTTAACCTCCGGACACGCAGCTTGCTTTCTCAGAAGGACACGACAGAGACTGGCGACACGGCATACAGTGTGCCGCCCGAGGGAACTCTGCCCAGTGCAGGAGGAGCTCTTGCCCGAACAGCGCTGTGTGCTGGGGTGGCCCTTCCACTCTGAATCTCACTTTCACCCGGGCCCCTGCGTGCAGCCTGCCTGCAGCCCAGGGGCCGTCTCTCGCTACCCCCCTCCCGTATTTCCAGCCACCTCTACTGAAGACCCTCAGCTGGGAAAATGCAAACTCAATTTCTCTTTTACCTTCTATTTCTTTTCCTTCCTATTCTTCTTTCTTCAAGAAATTAGGAATATAAAGAGAGAAGCAGGAAGGAATACGCAGTAGTATAACGGAGGAAGCTGGCCCCAAAGTAAGTGCTGTGTTCCTGTTTTCTTCCACGGGGTTTCATTTCCTCTCTGCAACTTCTTCAAAAAGGGTTTCCTGCACGCGCTAGAACGGTCTCTCCATCAGAGCCTCCAGCCAGCTGGTGCCGTTCATTAGCTTCGTGGTGGCGATGACGTACTCCGTCCCTCCATCCTCCAGCTGGGAGAGGAACCGCAGCGCCGCGATCTCAGCGAAGGTCACACCCCCGAGGAAGAACACCAGGGTGACTCGGTTTTCTCCTGGTTGACCTAAAATGTGAACATTTCAGAATTAGAAACTATTATTGGTGCTTCTCTTTCCACTTTTTATTTATTTTTAAAAGATTATTTATTTATTTGCAAGTCAGAGTTACAGAGAGAGAGGAGAGGGAGAGAGAAAAAGAGAGAGAGAGAGGTCTTCCATCCGATGGTTCACTCCCCAGTAGCTGCAACGGCCGGAGCTGTGCTGATCCTAAGCCAGGAGCCAGGAGCTTTCTCCGGGTCTCCCATGGAGGTGCTGGGGCCCAAGGACTTGGGCCATCCTCCACTGCTTTCCCAGGCCATACAGAGAGCTGGGTTGGAAGTGGAGCAGCTGGATCTCGAAGCAGCGCCCACATGGGATGTTGGCGCTTCAGGCCAGGGCGCTAACCTGCTGCACCACAGCGCCGGCCCTTCTTTCCACTTTTTAAAACATTTTATCACTAGGGCTGGTGCTGTGACATAGTGGGTAGAAGCCGCCATCCCATATGGGTGCCAGTTTGAGTCCTGGCTGCTGTGCTTCTGATCCTGGTCCCTGCTAACGCACCTGGGAAAGCAGTGGAAGATGGTCCTACTGCCTGGGTTTGTGCCACCCAAGGGGGAGACCTGGATGAAGCTCCTGGCAAACGGCTTTGGCCTGGCCCAGTGCTGCCCTTTGTGGTTATCTGAGGTGAGAACCAGTGGATGGAAGATCTCTCTCTCTCTCTGTCTCTCCCTCTCTGTGTAACTCTTTCAAAGTAAATAAATAAATCTTAAACAAAACCATTTTGTCCTCCACATGGATGAAAAGGCAGATGCGTCTTGGAAGACGCTGCGTTTGAACCTCACACACACCGATCTGCAGCTCCAGGCTTTTCCTAACTGCGGGTTCCTCCACGCAGAGGCGGGGGCTGCTGCTCCCGAGGGAGTGACGTGGTTCTCGCACTTAACGACCACGAGAGCGGTCCTGGTCCCAAGCACGTGACGCAGCAACTGCACGACACACCCACCACGCCACACCTGGCCGCCACTCACGTTTCTTCTGCAGCCCTGTGGGCAGGGGCTGCCGCTCCTCGAAGTGGGGCCCCGGGAGGATGCGGAGGACCTCCTCGATGCTGCGCCAGCCGGGCCGCGACAGCAGCTGGGCCAGCCGCACGCTGAGCGGCGCGTAACCACTGTACACGTAGGATATATCAGTAGGGTTCTGTTAAAGAAACAAACGGAAGCTCGGAGACTCGGAGACGTAGACTACGAACTGCGGCTGTTTGGGCAGTCCAGAATTATTTGATTTGTATTTGAAGGCAGAGATACAAAGCCTGTCCCCCTCTACACACACGTACACGCACACGCACACACACGCACACGCACCCTGTGCTTGCTCCGATTCGCTCCACTCCAGCTGCGCGGTTCTTGGCAGCCAGAGCTTCCCTTTCGACTCCGAAGCCGGGCAGTCAGCCCCAGGTTCCGCACAGGAGAACTTGCCATTCTGCTTGACAAGAAATTCCCTGGGGGTAACTGAGCGCACTCTCCCCAAGTAACATCATGCACGACCTTTGAACCCAGCACTGTACTTTTAGGGTACTTTGGGCTTTTCTCCTACAGAAGTGTTTGTAGGCCCTAAGACAGTGGACAGAGTGAAAGCGCAGGAACTGAAACACTGTATGGAATGGCAAAAGGCTGGACACAACCTCAACCTCTATCTGCTAAATCCTAAGCTATATCCTCAAAACTACTAAGTAGCCAGCAACTACAAAGAAATAAGGAGGAGAAGGGGGAGACCACAGGAAATCTTCAAGACCCCGTAAGCGGTGGGGAAGTTGAAGACAACCGGAGGCCGTCCAGCGGGGCTGGGTCTGTGAGCCCCTGGCAGATGTGGGCAGCAGGCGCATGCCGAGGCTGGGAGGCGGGCATCCTCCCCACCGCAGCATCCTGTCCCGTAGGTGTGAGCCGGTGCTTCTAACCACATCTTCAAGCTAGTCGCAATTTTCCACCCAGAATTCGCAGAAGGGGCTGAGCCCACCCAAGAGGAGCCAGGCTGTCTCCAAGAGACTCCCACTGTCTCCATGGCCCCAGGCCAATCAGCATACACAGTGAGAAACCCCGTCCACGGGGCACCTCCATAAACACCCAACGAAAAGACAGTAAAGCCTTTGAGACCCCGGCACTTCCCGAGACCCAGAGTCCTGCGCAGGCGTGCATCTGCTCTCCTCTCAGACGAGGTGCTTCACTGCCACTTTGCAAAACAAAAATAAAGTCTCTGCTTTTTCACAAAGCGTTTCCCAGCTTTTTAATTCTATACTAAGCTGAGGAAAAGAACCCACCAACTTGCTCCGGGAACCATTGTCCCCTCCGGGACAGTAACACAACCCAAACCAGCAAGAAGGGACTTCAAAAAGTTGGTGGAAAATGAAATCTGGGGCCAGCGCTGTGATATAGCAGGAAAAGCTGCTGCCTGCAGCACCAGCATCCCATACAGGCACTGGTTCAAGTCCGGCTGCTCCACCTCTGACCCTGCTCCCTGCTAATGTGCCTGGGAAATCCCGCAGCAGAAGATGGCCCAAGCACTCGAGCCCCTGCACCCAGAAGCAGCTCCTGGCTCCTGGCTTGGGCCTGACTCAGCCCTGGCCAGTGTGGTCATTAGGGGAGTGCACCAGCGAATGGAACTTGCTCTCTCTCTGCCTCTGCCTCTCTGTAACTCTGCCTCTTATAAATAAGTAGGAAACAGAAAGAAAAGGAAATTCAACAAGTTCATTTTGGGGCAGTAAAAAACTGAAACCCATGCAGTTTTTTCATATGTATTTTCCACGAATTTTACTTATTCAAGAGGAAGAGAGAGAGAGAAAGTGAGAGGGAGACAGACGTACTCTGAGAGCGCTCTCATCTACTGGCTCATTCCCCCAAATGCTCCCAGTGCTGGCTAGGACTGGCCAAAGCTCAAGTTGGGAACTCAACCCAGGTCTCCCACACAGGTGCCAGGACCCAACTATCTCAGCCATCACTGCTGCCTTGCAGGGTTGGCATTCGTAGGAGCTGGAGTCAAGACCCAGAGCCAGGTAGTAAACCCAGGACCAACAATGTGAGACACAGGTTTGTTGTTGTTTTTTTTTTTTTTTTTAATTTTTTTTTTTCGACAGGTAAAGTGGACAGTGAGAGAGAGAGACAGAGAGAAAGGTCTTCCTTTGCCCTTGGTTCACCTTCCAATGGCTGCCACGGCCAGCGCGCTGCGGCCGGCGCACCGCGCTGATCCGATGGCAGGCAGGAGCCAGGTGCTTAACCTGGTCTCCCATGGGGTGCAGGGCCCAAGCACTTGGGCCATCCTCCACTGCACTCCCGGGCCACAGCAGAGAGCTGGCCTGGAAGCGGGGCAACCGGGACAGAATCCGGCGCCCCGACTGGGACTAGAACCCGGCGTGCCGGCACCGCAAGGCGGAGGATTAGCCTAGTGTGCCGCAGCGCCGGCCAAGACACAGGTTTTAACAGGCGTCTTAACTACTAGGCTACATGTCCAGCCTTCTGTGAAGTTCTTGAAGCTCCCTCATTTATTATGGACATAATGAAACAGAAAGTAAGGGTACTACCACTTTCAGGGAGAAAAAATTTAATTTTGCTATTGAAAGAGGCGACTGTCAAGTTATGAACCTTTATTTCCTTTATGACAAACCAAAAAGAAAGAAAAAGAAATCTAGAAACGTGCACCATTTGTGTAAAAATGTTTGTATATGTACACCACCTTTCTGGAAAGAGATTGAAAACTGGCTACAGTGGTTGGCTCCCAAAACCAGGGTTCACTGTGGCAGGAAACGGACTTTTCAAAAGCTGCCTGCCTCGCCTTACTCAAGCTACCTTGCTTGACTGTGGACGGGAGCTGGACATCCACCATCTTCCCAGGCTCTGGGCCCAGCAGGCACCTGCAGGCTGTACTCGCCCCTTCCCAGGCTCTGGGCCCAGCAGGCACCTGCAGGCTGTACTCGCCCCTTCCCAGGCTCTGGGCCCAGCAGGCACCTGCAGGCTGTACTCGCCCCTTCCCAGGCTCTGGGCCCAGAAGGCACCTGCAGGCTATACTCGCCCCTTCCTAGGCTCTGGGCTTCCTCTCTGACCCTGCGGAGGCAGCGGGGTGCCCTGACCAGTGGCTCCTCATCCCTGGTTCTGCCTGCTGACTCTACACTGCTCCTCTCCAGTTCCAGCAGAGGCTCGGGAACACCTCCCTGCCCTTCGGGCCTGCGCTGGCGAGGGCTCTCCACTACACCGGCCGTAGTCCCACCCTGACCATGTCTACGTTCAGTTCTCCTCAAGACACCCACTCTGAGGACATTCTCCTGCCTGCTGGGATTCTGATGAACACAACACGTGAACGCACGCCTTTTGCAAAACGTCAGGAAGTTCTTTGTAGAAAATAAGGCAGATGTCACAGGGAGTCAGATAACAGAGAGCTGCCTTACTTGCTCATTGACGTCATCCATCCAGAGGCGCAGCGTCTTCCGGATGGTCGGGTAGTTGTTCCTGCCTCCCGTCTGCGGTCTCAGCAGGCCGGCCTTTTCCAGGTTGTGCAAGGTCAGGATGTGCTCGTAGCCGTAAGTCTACAAAACATTCCGTTTGGCCTTGATGTCAGATCAGGAAAAGCATTTCTGCAATTTTTGTTTGTTTTTAATTTTTTTTATTTATTTGAAAGTCAGAGTTACAGAGAAAAGAAGAGAGAGAGAGAATGAGATCTTCCATCCACTGGTTCATTCCCTACAATGGCCAGAGCTGTGCCAGTTTGAAGCCTCAGGAGCCAGGAGTTTCTTCTGGGTCTCCCACATGGGTGCAGGGGCTCAGGCACTTGGGCCACCTCCTACTGCTTTCCCAGGCCATTAGCAGGGAGCTGGATCGGAAATGGAGGAGCTGGGACTCGAAAGCCAGCGTTTGTATGTGATGCCAGCATCACGGGTGGTGGCTTTACCTGCTATGCCACAGCGCCAGCCCTGCACAAAGGGCACCTCTGACAAATCCGTTTGTATTCCAAAAATAACTAGTAACTACTGAAGTCCAGCCATAACCGCCAGTGCACACAGCAGACAGGGCAAAGGATGAAACTTGTCCTAACATGCTTGCCCATTACTGTGAACACAGCTCACGGCTGCAGAGTGATTTAACACTTTCAAAGTATTAAAATAGCATCAAGTAAATTACAGCATATTTATACACGGGGTATAATTAGTTCAAAAATAAATAAGGCAGACCTACACTTCCTGATAGGAAAGACTTCTAGATATAGTCTTTTTTTTTTTTTTTTGACAGGCAGAGTGGACAGTGAGGGAGAGTAGGGAGAGAAAGGTCTTCCTTTGCCGTTGGTTCACCCTCCAATGGACACTGCAGCTGGCGCACCGCACTGATCCGATGGCAGGAGCCAGGTGCTTCTCCTGGTCTCCCATGGGGTGCAGGGCCCAAGCACTTGGGCCATCCTCCACTGCACTCCCGGGCCACAGCAGAGAGCTGGCCTGAAAGAGGGGCAACCGGGACAGAATCCGGCGCCCCGACCGGGACTAGAACCCGGTGTGCCAGCGCCGCTAGGCAGAGCATTAGCCTAGTGAGCCGCGGCGCCAGCCCTAGATATAGTCTTAAGAACAAAAAAGAGGTAATATCATGTATAGTTGGATTTTGTATCTGTTAAAAAACGTAACAGCAGCCACCACTTTCTACAAGGGACAGGCGCTTGGCGCAGCGGTTAAGATGCGCTTGGGACAGCCTCATCCCACATGGGACTACTAGCGTTCAAGTTCCAGTTCCCTGCTGATGCATACCCAGATGGCGGCTCCAACACCTGGGCCCCTGCCACACAGGCTGGAGGCCCAGGTGCAGTTTCTGCCTCCTGGACCTAGCTCGGCCCAGCCCCGGCTGCTGCAGTCATTTGAGGAAGCAAACCAGCTGCTGGAAGAGCTCTTTCCAAATGTCAGAATGTCTGTTACTTTCTCTCTTTCAAAAGAAAATAAACAGGCCAGCGCCGCGGCCCACTTGGCTAATCCTCCACCTGTGGCGCCGGTACACCAGGTTCTAGTCCCAGTTGCCCCTCTTCCAGCCCAGCTCTCTGCTGTGGCCAGGGAGTGCAGTGGAGGATGGCCCAAGTGCTTGGGTCCTGCACCCCATGGGAGACCAGGAGAAGTACCTGGCTCCTGGCTTCGGATCAGTGCGGTGCGCTGGCCGCGGCGGCCATTGGAGGGTGAACCAACGGCAAAAGGAAGACCTCTCTCTCTGTCTCTCTCTCTCTCATTGTCCACTCTGCCTGTCAAAAAATAAAATAAAATAAACAAAGAACGTGAAGAAAAGAATACTGTCTAGGAGCGGGGCACTGCTCTGATCGAGCGCTTCACTCAGTTCACTCTGCCATCTGCGCCACGACCCCACGAGTGGGCAGCACTGTCAGGTCCCTTTCACGCACGCCACCCAGCTCACAGCTCATGAAGAGCAGAGCTGGGCCTGGACTCAGCCAGTCCCACTTGGGTGTCTGCAAACAAGGGAGTCTGGAAGTGGCTGACGCTGGTGACGCCTGGGGAACGAGACGGGGTGTCGCAGAGTACAGAGATGGTCCCATTTTGCTCCAGGTGCTTCTGCATTGTTTGACGCACCTTATGTAAACTTGGAAAACGGTAAAAATAAAAACAAATTTTTAATTTTAATAATAATGTACTCAGGGAAGGCACTGTGGTGAAGCAGGTAGTCACCACCTGCAGTGCCGGCACCCCACCTGGTGCCAGTTCGCGCCCCAGCTGTGCTACTTCCTAGCCAGCAACAGAGAATGGCCCAAGTGCTTGGCCTGCACCCATGTAGGAGACTTGGAAGAAGCTCCTGGCTCCTCGCTTCGAATTGGCCCAGCTCCGGCTATTGGGGCCTTTTGGGGAGTGAACCAGTAGATGCAGGACCTCTCCCCCCACAGCCTCTGCTCTCTGTATATCTGTCTTTCAAATAAATACATAAATCTTTAAAAAAAATAACGCGCTTAAACACTGTCTCTGATAGCTTCAAACAGAAGAGACATTTTGTAAATAATGGTGGGCTTTCCCCATTATGAAGTAAAACAGACTTAGTATAAGTCAGCCTGCTACGGAACTGTTACAAAAATTTGTAAACAGCTCCCTTTCTCCAGCTTAGGACCACGCTGTCAAGAGCACAGCACTAGACCCAAGTTGCCTGAGTCTTTTATTTATGAGTTGGGTGACTGTGGATGACTTCACAAGTCTGTGCCTCAGTTTTTTCATCCATAAAATGGGGACAGTGACAGTATCTAACTTGTAGGGATGTCGTGAGGATAAACAAATGTACACGTGCAAACCTCTTCCAAAAGACCTGACATGCAGTAAATGCTCAGTAAAGGTTTGCCACTTTACTGACATGCAGAACAAGAACAGACGTCAGAACAGTTACTCTAGTATGACAAGAATTAAAGGCGGTGGTAACAATGCAACATTAGAGCCGTTTTGTGAAGTATTTTTATTTTTAAGCACCTTTATTTTTTAAAAAGTGCTTTCCTCTTGGCAAGTTAATAATTTACACTGACCTGGAGAATTTCTCGTTTGTAATAATCCAGAACTTTCTGTTTGAGTCCACTATTGCACACGGACTGCAGGCAAACCAGCCTTAACACCTTGACCAACGGGTGCTTCTGGGCAATGCAGTCCTCGATGTAGCTGTTGGCCTGAAGCAGAGATGCACATGAGCTCAGCATCTGCTCTGTGATTTGAGAACTCCAGGCTTATTAATTTCCAAAGTCAAAGCCGGGGACGTGCAGGAGAATGGCTCGGTATTGTCTCCTCCTTCCCTACCCCCTGCCACGCATGCCAGCGGTCACCCAGGAGCCAGGGCAGTCACGCCACTGGTCAGCCCCAAGGCAGTCTCTGAGGACAACCTCCGGAGAGGCTGCCCAGGGCCAAGTCTACCTCAGGAAGGCCAGGAATTTATTCAGCACTAAGCAACAGGAAGATTTTTAGAAGCTGGGAATTTTCATAAATGAATAGTGAAAAATTTATTAACAGAGCTGGATATTTAAAGGAATTGTGAGACAAAAAGCAAATATCTCAATTTCTCCATTATTCCCTTTATGAGCTTTGACTTTAGGGGCTGAGTCTCATCTCCACGCAGTGCAGAAGGTGTCATGCAAAGAAATGTGAAATATCCGTTCCTTGACAAAATCTGCATTTTTACATTTTGCATTTGCTCCGAAAAATATTTATGCAAGGCATGAGAATCACAGCAGTCCTTTTCCGACTGCGATTTTATGTTTCATACGCTTTCAACTATTTGTTAGAACAGCTTTATTGTCTACATACCTTATCAGTATCTATTCCAGACATAAACTCCTGTTCCACTGTTAATTTATCAAAGAAGTCTTCAGAAGCTAAAATATAACAAGCAAATTTTCAATTTAGAAATTAAATAAATGTAATCTGAGTCAGGTGCTTTCACACACACATACACACACACAAAAAGTATGGTTAAGAAATAAGACGTGTAAAAATGAAAGTGATGCCGGCGCCGTAGCTCAACAGGCTAATCCTCCGCCTAGTGGCGCCGGCACACCGGGTTCTAGTCCCGGTCGGGGCACCAGATTCTGTCCCGGTTGCCCCTCTTCCAGGCCAGCTCTCTGCTGTGGCCCGGGAGTGTAGTGGAGGATGGCCCAAGTGCTTGGGCCCTGCACCCCATGGGAGGCCAGGAGAAGCACCTGGCTCCTGCCATCAGATCAGCGTGGTGCGCCGGCCGCAGCGGCGGCCATTGGAGGGTGAACCAACGGCAAAGGAAGACCTTTCTCTCTGTCTCTCTCTCTCTCATTGTCCACTCTGCCTGTCGGAAAAAAAAAAAAAAAAAAAAGAAAAAGAAAAAGAAAGAAAGCGAGCGAAGGCCAGACCATTTCCCGAAGAGAATCTTCTAAGAAGCATGGAAAACCCCAGAATGTTGAACTCCTAACTTTCGTTAGATGCAGCTGACAACCGGCACCCTGAGGATTTAAACACAGACCTCAGCATTTTGCAGAATGAGCCTTGTTCAGCAAAAGTGCTTGTAACTTTCATCATCAGACCCAATCTAGGTTCAATTGTTTTCCATTTCTATTAATGCTAAAACTGGGGGGGGGGGGGGGGGGGCCTGATTTTCCAACACTATGTTTTATTTAAGAATTGAAGCACACTTCATAAAACAGGACAATGAACAGTCTCCCACGCAGCTTTGCCAGCCCTATGTTTAAATGAACAAATGCTCGTGTTCAGCTTAATACACCTCTCTGGATTTCTTTCAAAATACTCAACATACGCTCTTGTACTAAGAAAGTTTTCAAGAGAGAAAAACCCAACCACACTGCTATAATTAACACTTTACAACCAGAAAAAAGTTAGACCAAAAATTAACTAATTTCATCTTACTCTGGGCAAACTCTTGGACAAATTTTTTATCTGTATCCCAAGTATTTTGTCATATGGTTACTAATGAAAAAACTGAGTTGAAAACAAATGGAACGTTCTTAACTATGGACACGCGCACAGCTCCCTCATGTTGCAAATCTATGAGATAGTAACACAGGGCTGACTCTGCCAGGTGGGCTCCTGGCACTGCCAGCCGAGGCCCCGGCCCCGGGGTACTCACTGGTGACGTCTTTGATCAGCTCCGCAATCGAGGTGTGGTTTGCCAGGGAGCCTCTTGCCGCCTGCATGTGTGGCAGCTGGGAGACGAACTGCTTGATCTCCCCCACGGTCTTGGCGTTGTGTCGCTCCTGGAACGGGCGGGCAGGCCGTGCCATCAAGCAGGGAAGAGATTCCACTTGGAGCTTTAATTTCTTTTTCTTTTAAGATTTATTTACTTATTTGAAAGAGTTACAGACACAGAGGGACAGACAGAGAGGGAGAGATCTTCCAGCCTCTGGTTTGCTACCAAACAACACCAATAGCTGGGGCTGGGCCACGCTCTCTCTCTCTCTCCTCTTTTTCTCTCTCTCTCCTCTCTTTCTCTCTCTCCTCTCTCTCTCTTTCTCTCTCTCTCTCTTTCTCTCTCTCTCTCCTCTCTCTCTCTCTGCCTCTCCTCTCTATGTGTAACTCTGACTCTCAAGTAAAAAATAAATACCTATTTATATAAAAAAAAAAAACGGCCGTTTTTTGCTTGTCATTATTCTCTAAGCAATAAGTAGCATTTACACTGTATGAGGGGTCTTTGAAAAGTTCATGGGAAAATCATACCACATTGTGGTTCTTTTTCTCCAGGAACGTAGGGACGTATCCTTATATTTTGTATTGTAAGTAACCTAGAGATGATTTAAAGTATACAGGGAGGGAGAGGCATCGGTCTAGCAATTAAGTGACTGCGCTGGCGTCTCCGCTCCACACCAGGTCCCGGCTCGCTGCTAACGCACACCCTGGTGGCTCAGGTAGTGGGGTCCTTGCCACTCACATGGGAGATCTGGACTGAGTTCCAGACGCCTGATTTCAGCCTGGCCCAGACCTGGCTCTTGGTGTATTTGGGGAGTGAATCGTGGATTTTCAATAAATTAAGTTGGAATTTTAAGGTATGTAAGAGATGCACACAAGCTGCATGCATGCGCTGCCCCATTTATCTGAGGGAATCGAGCATCCCCAGATCCTGGTACCCGCAGGGTCCCGGAAGCCACCGCCCACCGCCCACCGCCCACCGCCCACGGACACCGCGGGGCGGCCACAGCAGGGACAGACGGGCTCCTGGTGCCTGTCTCCCACGTGAGCACTTCACACGACAAGCGCCTTTGCTCCGTGCTGCCCACCCACTGTGTCAGTATCTAGTGAGTGTCAGTGGAGGCTAGCACTGACTAAATCACATAAATTCTGAGTAAGAAACTAAGATGGAGAAGTCACATTGTGTGCAGAGGGGAGTAAACAGGACAATTCCTGTGTGACAGAAAAGAGCCTTTCTGCTCTCAGTCTTGATTTCAGCCCACGAGCAAAGTGATAAGAAGATCTGTAGGGTAAAATTTAATAATTTAATCAAAGGTAACTTTAGTAATACAGAAATCAGGGGCTGGCATTATGGTGTAGTGGGGTAAGCCACTGCCTGCCAACAGCAGCACCCCATACTGACACTAGTTTGAGTCCCGACTCCTTCACTTCCAATCCAACTTCCTGCTAATGGCCTAGAAAGCAGCAGCAGCAGACGGCCTAAGTGCTTGGCCCCTGCACCCACATGGGAGCTCTGGATGAAGCTCCTGGCTTCCGCCTGGCCCAGCCCTGGCCATTGGGGCCATTTGGAGAGTGAACCAGCAGATAGAAGATCTCTCTGTGTGTATATATCTCTCTCTCTCTGTAACTTTGCCTTTCTAATAAACAAAATAAGTCTTAAAAAAGGAGGGGGGCTCTGATGCTGTGGTGTAGCAGGTAAAGCCACTGCCTGCGATGCCGGCATCCCATACAGGCACCAGTTCAGGTCCCGGCTGCTCCACTTCTGATCCAGCTCTCTGCTATGGTCTGGGAAAGCAGAAGATGGCTCAAGTCCTTGGGCCCCTGCACCTGCGTGGGAGACCCAGAAGCTCATGGCTCCTGGCTTTAGATTAGTACAGCTCCAGCCACTGTGGCCATCTGGGGAGACAACCAGCAGATGGAAGGCCTCTCTCTCTCTCTCTTTCTGCCTCTACCTCTCTGTAACTCCACCTTTCAAATAAAATAAAAAATTTTTTTTTTTTTTTGATAGGCAGAGTGGACAGTGAGAGAGCGAGATAGAGAGAAAGGTCTTCCTTTGCCGTTGGTTCACCCTCCAATGGCTGCCGCGGCCAGCACGCTGCGGCCGGCGCACCGCGCTGATCCGATGGCAGGAGCCAGGAGCCAGGTGCTTTTCCTGGTCTCCCATGGGGTGCAGGGACCAAGCACTTGGGCCATCCTCCACTGCACTCCCGGGCCACAGCAGAGAGCTGGCCTGGAAGAGGGGCAACCGGGACAGAATCCGGTGCCCCGACCGGGACTAGAACCCGGTGTGCCAGAGCCGCAAGGCGGAGGATTAGCCTAGTGAGCCGTGGCGCTGGCCAAATAAAGTAAATCTTAAAAAAATAAAATAAAGGGAGGGAGATGTCAGTGCTGTAGTGTAGTAGGTTAAGCCTTCTCCTGAGGCACTGGCATCCCATATGGGCGCTGGTTCCTGTCCTGGCTGCTCCTCTTGTGATCCAGCTCTCTGCTGTGGCCTGGGAAAGCAGTAGAAGATGGCCCAAGTGCTTGGGCTTCTGCACCCAAGTAAGAGACCGGAAGAAGCTCCTGGCTCCTGGCTTTGGATTGGTCCAGCTCCGGCATATGCAGCAATTTGGGGAGTAAACTAGTGGAGGGAAAACCTTTCTCTCTGTTCTTCGTCTCTCTCTCAAATAAAATAAATAAAAATCTTTTAAAAAAAAAAAAAGACAGAGGCCGGTGCTGCAGCTCACTAGGCTAATCCTCCGTCGGCGGCGCCGGCACTCCAGGTTCTGTCCCAGTTGCTCCTCTTCCAGTCCAGCTCTCTGCTGTGGCCCGGGAAGGCAGTGGAGGATGGCCCAAGTGCTTGGGCCCTGCACCCGCATGGGAGACCAGGAGAAGCACCTGGCTCCTGGCTTCAGATAGGCACAGCGCTGGCTGTAGCACGCCGGCTGTAGCAGCCATTTGGGGGGTGAACCAACAGAAGGAAGACCTTTCTCTCTGTCTGTTTCTCTCACTAACTCTGCCTGTCAAAAAAAAAAAAAAAAAAAGACAGAAAGCAATCATAACTATAATAACTCCTACTAAAGTAAAATCTGGGACCACATACACTCAGTCAAAAATCATTTTTCAAAAAACTCTCCCAGTTTACGCTTCCGGCCCAAATACCCAGTCATGTTGCTGAGTCCCCGTGTTTCAAAAGGGAGCTTAACACACCAAGAACTGAGCACAGGCAAGTGGAGGCAGGAAGGCGCTATCAAAGCCGCGACTTCAGAGCACTGGGCTGCGGGGATTTCATCCCATTATCACCTGCCAGTCTCGTGGGAAGGACTCGGAGTCCGCACCACGAATGCAAGTCCTACTACACAGGATCTGTTATTTATCGCACAGCTGGCTGCTTCTTTGGCAACGAAGGAAATAATTTAAAAGAAGATAAAGTATATATGATGAAAGCTTGTAAACTGCAAATATTTGTGTCCCCATGTCTCCCCAAAATGGAGGAAAAACTTCGCATAATACCTTTTATTATGGGTCTAGGAAAGACTTAAAGAGAGAGAAAATGAGGCGGGACTTAAGCTGGCAGCTAAGATGGGGGTAGTGTTGCGGTGCAGCAGGTCAAGCTGCTATTTGGATCCCATACTGGAGATCCAGTTTGAGTCTTGGTTTCCTTGTTTTCCACTAATGCATGTGGAAAACAACAGATGATGGGTCAAGTATGCAGGTGCCTACCACCTACATGGGAGCCTGGGACTGAACTTGGTCTTCTGGCTTTGACCACACCCACTCCTGGCTGTTGTGGGCATTTGGAGAGTGCTCCAGCATATTAAAGATCTCTCTCTCCCTTCCTGTCACTCCGCATTTCACATTAATAAACATTATAAGGGAGGGGAGCGGTGTTGTAGCCCAGTGGGCCAGGCTGCCACTGGGATGCCCCATCCCATACGGGAACACCTGGGCTCAGACCTGGCTACTCTGCTCTTCTTCAAGGTTTTAACTAATTTATTTCCCTGAAAGGCAGAGTAACAGAGAGAGAGGGGGAGAGAAAGAAAGTTTTCTTCCATCTGTTGGTTCACTTCCCAGATGGCTAAGCAGCCAGGTCTGGGCCAGGCTGAAGCCAGGACCCAGGAATTGCATTCTAATCTCCAACGTGGGTGACAGGGGCCCAAGTACTTGGGCCATCTTCTGCTGCTTTCCCAGGCCATTAGCAGGAAGCTGGATGGGAAGTGGAGCAGCCAGGATTTGAACAGCACTTGGGATGCCAGCGTCATAAACAGCAGCCTCCCTGCACCACAGTGCAGGCTCCTCACTCCATGCTTCTGATCCAGCTTGGTGCTCATGCCCCTGGGAGGCAGCAGGTGATGTCCCAAGTACTTGGGTTCCTGCCACCCGTGTGGGAAACCCGGATACAGCTACTGGCTCCTGACTTCAACCTGGTTGTTGTGGACATTTGGGAAGTGAATACGTGGATGAAAGATCTCTGTCACTCTACCTTTCAAATAAATCAATCTTTAAAAAAATGACTTCGGGTAAGACAGCTGCATCCCACATCAGAGTAGCTGGGCTCCATCCCCAGGTCTAGCTCTCGACTTCAGCTTCCTGTGAAAGCACTCGCTGGGAGGCAGTGATGACGGCTCAAGTGACTGGGTTCTTGCTACCACACAGGAGACTTGGATTGGGTTCCTGGCTCCCAGCTCCTGCTCCAGCCCTGGCCCAGGCCCAGCCGCTGCAGGCATCTGGGGAGTAAACCAGCAGATGGGGGTGTCCTCTCTGTGTTCCTGTCTGCTTCTCTGCTGTGGTGCAGGGGGTAAAGCTGCTGCTCACAATGCTGGCATCCCATGTGGGTCAGTGCGTGTCCCAGCTGCTCCACTTCTGATGCAGATCCTGCCCAATGGCCTAGGAAAAGCAGGGGAAGATGACCCCAGGTGTTGGAGCCCCTGCCACCCACGTGGGAGGCCTGGATGAAGCTCCCGGCTCCAGGCTTTGCCCTGGCCCAGTGCTGGTCATTGCAGCCATCTGGGGAGCAGGGCAGCGGATGGAAGATCTCTCTGTGTGTCTCTCCCTGTCTGCAACTCTTTCAAAATAAATAAATAAACCTCAAAATCTGAATAATCCACAAAAAGGAAACAAAAAAGCAAACCGTGGGGCCTCCCCGGTGGGCTCTGCCGCTGCAGCAAAGCCCTGCCCGGCCGGGGGCCGCGCTCGCTCCCAGGCCGCCTCACCTCGAAGGCCGCCGAGATGACCTTGGCTTTCTTGCTGAGCACCGAGCCCACCGCGTTGAAGTTCTTGTCCCGGATCTCGGCGTAGAGCTCCTCGGCAGAATTCAGCTGCAGCTTCTTGGCCTCGGCGGGGAGGTCCTTGCCATCGCCCTGCTTCTTGGGGGCAAACTTCTCGGGCGGCAACTTGACGTAACCTGGCAACAGCGGGAGGGAGCAGCTCGGCGAGCCGCACAGACGTGCAGTCAGCAGAGGAGGCGGGGCGCTGCAGCCTCTGCCTGCGGTGCCTTTTTCACGTCCCTTGGGGCGTCTACAGAAACCACGGAGCAGCGCCCAGGCCCTAAACTCCGACTCAAGGATTAGGCCACCTTTCCAGTCACAACCTTGCAAGGCTCTCGCCGCTGTCTTTCTCGGGAAATGCCCCACTGGTGGGTCACGACATCACGCTGCTGGGTTTTAAGTCCCATTTAAAAGACAACTCAATGGCGACAGAAACAGCAGGGGAAATGCCATAATACACCACACAGGCTAAGAGAAGCTGCTTTTTAAAAAAATAAAACCTTTGCTTCGGCGTTATGCACACATGCACATGTGTACGACTGCGTCAAGCTATATGATGCATTTCATTCTGTGGGTTGCAGTCCAAAACAGTATGAAAGCCACTCCAGAACAAGGGTCAGAAACCCTGGCCTCAGGGCCAAATGCCACGCACTGCCTACTTTTACACATACAGTTGACCGGCCCAGGCCATGGCCATTCTTTGTGTATCATGTGCGGCTGCTTCCACACAAGGGCAGAGGCAAGGGGACTGCTCTGTGCAACCTGCTCTGAATAACACACAGAAGCCTAACGTATTTATTTTCTTGGTCTTCACAGAATCATCTAGAATAAACTCCCACATGTACTGGTGCCTTAGAAAGTCAGCACCTTTTGACCCAGAACATCCCGTGTTAGACGCCGGTGTGGCCAAGCTGCCACCGTGACTGGTGCCCCACCCGGGAGCAGCAGTGCTGGTCTTGGTTGCTCTGCTTCCAATCCGGCTTTCTGCTAACGTCCCAGGGAAAGCAGCGCAGGATGGACGAAGTGCTTGGGCCTCCACCGTCCATGTGGAAGACCCAGACGGGGTTCCTGGCTCCTGGCTTCCTGTTGCAGCCATTTGAGGAATGAACTAGCAAATGGAGGGTATCTCTCTTTGTTACTCTTTCAAATAAATAAGTAAATCTTAAAAAAAAAAAAAAAAAATGCAGGGGCCGGCGCTGTGGTGTAGCGGGTAAAGCCACCACCTGCAGTGCTGGCATTCCATATGGGCGCTGGTTTGAGTCCCGGCTGCTCCACTTCTGATCCAGCTCTCTGCTATAGCCTGGGAAAGCAGTAGAAGATGTCCCAAGTCCTTGGGCCTCCACACCCACATGGGAGACTGGGAAGAAGCTCCTGACTCCTGGCTTCAGATTGGCACAGCTCCAGCCGTTGTGGCCAACTGGGGAGTGAACCAGTGGATGGAAGACCTCTCCCTCTCCCTCTCCCTCTCCCTCTCTCTCTCCCCCTCTCTCTCTCTCTCTCACTGCCTCTGCCTCTCCTCTGTGTGTAACTCTGACTTTCAAATATATAAATAAATCTTTAAAAAAAAATACTGCATCAGGTTATGCAGGGAAAGAAAGTAACTGGATCTCTGAAACAAATCTCATGTTATGGCTAACTTTATAACCACAAAAATAAAACAAGCTAAAATGCTCCACATTAGGGAAATGACTACACCCCAGAGCATAACAGACACAGTGGATTTTAGCCTAACTAATAAATTATGCATATGTGGGGAAATGCCCATTATCCTACCAAGTAAAAAATGAAGTTCAAAACAATTTATACCACCTGATTCCATGTTTTTAAAAATTTACTTGAGAGGCAGAGAGTGAGCAAGACAGAGCATGCTCATGTGCTGGTTCAGTTCCCAAATGCCCCCAGTGGGGGGCTGGGTCTGGCTGCAGCCAGGAGCCTCATCCAGGTCTTCACATGGGTGGCAGGAACCCCATTACCTGAGCCATCGCTGCTACCTCCCAGGGTCTCATGAGCAGGGAGCTGGAGTCACGAGCTGGAGCTGGGAATCGAACCCCTGTCCTCCGACGTGGGACGTGGATGTCTTAACCAGCAGGCCAATGTCCATCCCTGAGGGAAGGAGGCCTGGTGGACAGGGCACGGTAGGGTCTGTGGTGAGCTGGGGGCAGGGACACTGTCCACAGGGACAGCTCCCCTGGGAACCGCATGCCTCATGGGCACATGGCCTCGGGGCTGCCAAGCTGCTAATATTTTTAAAGATAAGGCATAAATCAGAATTATTAAAAATTTCTCAATTTATAAATGGTGACACCAATAAACATCACGTGGGCCCAAACCAAACACAGTGCACTTGTGACCTCTGACCTTGTAAGCTGCCAAGCACGGACTCCAGGGCCCTGCTGAGCCTTTGCTCGGTGACCCCAGGCTCCTGTCTTAGTCTTTTCCCCAGAGTGTTTCTCCATCTGTGCTCTCTGCTCCAGCAAGAGGCTGCCCGGTGGCCCATGTCCCCCGTGGCAGTGCCTCCATAGAAAGTCACCCTACTTTCCAAACCCAGACGGACGCTGCCTCTTCCCCCGTGCCGCGGATCTGCAGTGCTGCCTGTGCCAACCCTCGGCCTCTGCCAGCAGGGGCCCAGCACTGTCCTGGGCCCTGAACGCCTGGCCAGCCCTTGGGTCCCCGACCAAGCAGTGTGCAAAGCCAGGCCAGCACTTTCCTGTCTTCAAGTCCTCTCTGATTTGCCTGAGAAGGACGCCTTCTGACAGGGTCACTGGGGCACGGCCACGTGCTCTCCCTGCAGGGTTTCTCTCCCAGGGTCCCGTGTACTCTCTCTGTACAAGTGCACCACGTGTGTAGTCTGGAATACACAGGCACACCAGTGCGTACACGTAACACTTACAAATAAGTGTGGTTACAGTGTCTTGTGTCCCACATTTATTACTCTAATGGCTCCATGCATTTTATTATGTTCTCAACTTCTGGATAATTTATAAAATTCCGATACAGAAGTGGCAAGACAAATTTTTACACAAAATCTGTGATCTCCTTTTCCAGATTCCTAAAGGGACATTCTGGGGCTCCGGACTCTCGGGCCAAGAGGTGGAAAGTCTTAAGGTTGCCACATTGCTTCTGAGACGGCTCCTATTAACCCGCACTTGGCAGTCATCACTAAAGCCGGCTCTCTGGCTTCAGACAGTGCTTACCTCTGCAGCATAACCAGGGGACTGCCACGCGCCACCCACCAGTGGGAGCGGCAGTCCTTACTTACTGTTCTGAATGCCGTAAATTTCGTCGATGAGTCCTTCATACGTAAGCTGAGTGGCGAGAGGTGTTAATAAGTCCACGTTCCGATCAAGCAGCAGCAGGTTATCAAAAACAGGAAATACTGAATTTTGGCTTCCAGTGAACTCTCTCTTCATCCGGATCATCATGTTGGCCACTTGCTGGAAAGAAAACACGGGATCAGCTGGGGCCCTTCTGGGAACTAGCAGACTGCAGGATTTAACTAAACAAAAGGAGACGAGCCAGGGGGAGCAGGACGGCAAGAAAGCCATGGCTACGGAGGAGCACTCGGGGCGGGCTGCCAGCGCCAATGCTGCAGCCAGCGTGGCTGCTGCTTCCTGGTACGGCATAAAATCTGACACCGTGTGTTCTTGTCACCGGAAGCAGTTTTCCTAAAGTTTTCCAAAGTCACTGCAAACACTGCATTAACAATGAGCCATCTTTCTCCACTGATCGACACATGACCTTAGTTCATGCATGTTTCTGCTGAATGGAACCGGACTTCGTGTATGCTGCCCGTTCATTCCCGTCCTGCTCTCCACCACTGGCCGTGCCACCCGGGGCCGGACGGCGCTTCTCCAGCACCTGTGTTAGCCCCAAAGGGAACACGCGGCGGCACTTCAGCGCTATGCCCAGGGGCCATTTTAATCAGCAAAATCAACAAGAAGCACAGCTGCGTGCAAACTGTGACACTGGGTTCACCGTGTTGGGGACTTGTCCACAGTCTGAAAGGGCAAACGGGAGGCAGAGGGGCTTCGATCCTCACCACCTGGCCTGGCCGCAAAGCCCTGTGAGCGCTGATCCAGGTGCTGGACGTTCACCTAAGCCAGAGGGCACATTCTCGAACAGAGACTTCGAGAATGGAGAGGCTCTGCTGTGTGTAAGAGGTTCCCACTGGGCCTGGTTTGGGGAGAAAGCAGCAGGTTCTCACCCGAGCGCAGTCTCCTTTCCCGAAGATCTGGGGGATGGTTCCGTACAGAGCTTGCAGGGTCATCAGCCCCTTGGCCGCATGGTACAGGCTCGTCTGGTCACCGTCCAGGTAGCACTCCTGTAGGGTAGGAGGACACAGGCTGGTACTGTCAGGCCACCGGGTGCTGCTCCTGGTGCCAGGGTTCTGCCCCGACACTGCATCATTTCCATTCTTCCCCGCACTGCTGGGGACCCAAGTCCACTTCACAAGGCTGCTGTCTGGGGTCTCGGCCACGCAAGCAGCTTCCCCGGGCAGCGCTTCTGGAAGAGAAGCACTCACCTGCACGTCCACTCAGTTCTGAGTTTAAAAGCTCTTAGATAGCCCGGCGCCATGGCTCACTAGGCTAATCCTCCACCTGTGGTGCCTGCACCCCGGGTTCTAGTCCCGGTCGGGGCGCCGGATTCTGTCCCGGTTGCCCCTCTTCCAGTCCAGCTCTCTGCTGTGGCCTGGGAAAGCAGTGGAGGATGGCCCAAGTCCTTGGGCCCTGCACCCACATGGGAGACCAGGAGAAGCACCTGGCTCCTGGCTTCAGATCAGCGCAGCGCTGGCCGTGGCGGCCATTTTGGGGGTGAACCAACAGAAGGAAGACCTTTCTCTCTGCTCTCTCTCTCTCACGAACTCTGTCAAAAATAAAACAAATTAAAAAAAAAAAAAGAAAGAAAGAAAGCTCTTAGATAGGGACAGGCGCTGCGGCGTAGCTGGTAAAGCCACTGCCTAAGACACTGGCTTCCCATTTGGGCACTGGTTCGTGTCCCCGATGCTGCACTTCTGATCCAGCTCCCTGCTGATGGCCTGGGAAAGCAGCACAGGATGGCCCAAGTGCCGGGGTCCCTGCCACCCATGTGGGAAACCCAGATGAAGCTCCTGGCTGCAGCCTGGCCCAGCCTGGTCATTGTGCCCATTTGGGGGATGAACCAGCAGACAGAATCTCTTTCTGTCTCCCTCTTTCTAACCCTGCCTTTCAAGTAAATAAATAAATAAACCTTTTTATTAATAAAAAAAAGATCTTGAATAAAAGGTTGATGAATAAAAATTACATCAGCAAATGAGTTCTGTCATTCGTAACTCTGGTAGGAGAGCGTGGGACCACCACACGCTAACACACAAAACGCACGTATTCTCCGCACCCCGCCAAGTCCCACGCAAGAGAACACCTGGCTCTTTCTACAGCAGACAGCAGGGTCCACACGTGCTGACCACAGATGAAGGCCACACGCGGACACACACACACACATGTGGACATGCACATGTACACGCGCACACAGAACTCAAGGCAGATTAAAGACCACATAGGAAAAGCAAAACTTGAAAAATTTTTAAAGAAATGAAAGATTTTCAATGTCTTTATGGTGGAGAAAGATTTAGTAAGATCCAAAAAGCACAAACACCCAGCAAAGGCGGTATATGCATCTGCGTGAGGACCAACAACTCACCGCCTGACTTCAGTTTCCAAGAAAGCTACAGCAACCGCCACGGTGTGGTGGTGCCGGCTTACAGACAGACACGTCAATCAGTGGAACAGAACTGAGACCAGAAATAAACCCGTGCATCTGCATTTGTGGGCAACTGATTCTCAACGAGGATACCGAGACAATTCAAGGAGGAAAAACAGCCTTGTCAGCAAAAGGTTCTGGAACAAATTGATGTCCACATACAAAGAATGAAGTTGGACACCCACCTCACACTGCACACAAAAGTATGCAAAAGGCCTAAATGTGAGAGCTACAATTATAAAACTCTTAGAAGAATACAAAGGAGGCCGGCGCCGTGGCTCACTAGGCTAATCCTCCACCTTGCAGCGCCGGCACACCGGGTTCTAGTCCCGGTTGGGGCGCCGGATTCTGTCCCGGTTGCCCCTCTTCCAGGCCAGCTCTCTGCTGTGGCCCGGGAGTGCAGTGGAGGATGGCCCAAGTGCTTGGGCCCTGCACCCCATGGGAGACCAGGAAAAGCACCTGGCTTCTGCCATCGGATCAGTGCGGTGCACCAGCCGTGGCGGCCATTGAAGGGTGAACCAACGGCAAAGGAAGACCTTTCTCTCTGTCTCTCTCTCTCACTGTCCACTCTGCTTGTCAAAAAATTAAAAAAAAAAAAAAAAAAAAAAGAATACAAAGGAGTCAATCATGTGACTTCAGATTAGGCAACCATTTCTTGGATACAACATCAAAAGCACAAGTAATGAGAAAAGAGATGCAGGAAAAACTTGCGGGTTGAAGAGCAGGACCCTCCCCGAGTAAGTAAAGCAGACTCACAGAATCCCACGTCTGTAAGAGATCTGCATCTAGAACAAATCTTTAGGGCAGTGAAATTGGCACCTTTTGCTCAGTTTTGTTGGAAACCAAAAACCGCGTCAACAAAGAGAGAAACAAGTCTGTGCAACACTAGTCTGGTGGAACACACGAGGGGACTTGGAAAAGTTCACGGGAAAATGGAATTCCGAGAGCAGTTTGCTTCGCTGCAAAGCAGCGCTGAAATCCACACACTGTTCTCTCATCGTACACGTTCTCCATGAGCTTTCTGAAGACCCCTTGCATCGGTCCCAGCCCACAGAGCATGCACCAGCGAGAGTGAGCCCCAGGGTGAACTGCAGACCCAGGGTGCCGATCGTGTGTCACTGTGCCACTCTGAGGGGGACGGGGGTAATGAGGCGACCACGCGTGTCGAGGAGAATATGAGAAACCTCTGCACCTCCTGCTTACTGTTGCTGTGAATCCAAAACTGCTCTTTTTCTTATAAGAAAACCAAAATAACCCAAGTTTTTAAATGGGCAAGTGATCCCAAGAGAGACTTCTCCAATAGGAGATAAACAGCTATTAAGCACATGGAAAGACGATCATTTCTCAATATGGAAATGCAAATTAAAACCAAGGAAGAGGCCGGCGCCGTGGCTCACTAGGCTAATCCTCCACCTAGCGGCGCTGGCACACCGGGTTCTAGTCCCGGTCAGGGCACCGGATTCTGTCCCGGTTGCCCCTCTTCCAGGCCAGCTCTCTGCTGTGGCCAGGGAGTGCAGTGGAGGATGGCCCAGGTGCTTGGGCCCTGCACCCCATGGGAGACCAGGAGAAGCACCTGGCTCCTGGCTTCGGATCAGCGCGGTGCGCCGGCCACAGCGGCCATTGGAGGGTGAACCAACGGCAAAAGGAAGACCTTTCTCTCTGTCTCTCTCTCTCTTACTATCCACTCTGCCTGTCAAAAAAAAAAAAAAAAAAAAAAAAAAAAAAAAAAAAACAAGGAAGAGGGGCTGGTGCTGTAGCACACCAGGTTAAATCACCATCTGCAATGCTGGCATCCCACAGGGGTGCCAGTTCAAGTCCTGGCTATTCCACTATCAGTCTAGCTCCCCACTTGTGCGCCTAGGAAAGCAGTGGAAGATGGCCCAAGTCCTTGGGCCCCTGCACCCAGGTGAAAAACCTGGAAGAAGCTCCTGGCTCCTGATTTTGGCCTGGCCACTGTGGCCATTTTGGGAGTGGACCAGCAGACAGAAGATCTCTCTCTCTGACTTTCCCTCACTGTCTCTGTAACTCTGCTTTTCAAATAAGTAAATATTTAAAAAAAAATTTAAAAGACTGATTTATTTATGAAAGGCAGAGGTGGATGGCCAAGTTCAGAAAGCCAGTGACAAGTGTCTGTGCTGGGGCCCCTCACTGCTGCGGGAGTACGAGGTGGCTCTGCCGCTGTGCAGTTTCCTCAAACTGTTAGCACGGTTACCACACGCCCAACAATTCCTCATCCAGGTGCATGTAAGACAAATGGAAAAACCTGCTGCATGTTCATGGCGCCATAACACTATGGGAAAAACCTGTCAAGTGCCCAAAAACTTATGAAGGACAAATAAAATATGGGCTATCATTATAACAGAGTCCTATTTGGCCTTATATAGGAATCACATTGACACAGCTGCAACATGGATGAACCCTGAAAATATTCTGCCAAGTGAAAGAAGCCAGACACAAAAGATCACATATTATATTATTTCATTTATAAGAAATGTGTAGCATAAGCAATTCATACAAAGCAGATGAGCGGTTGGCAGTGGCTGCAAGAAAGGATAAGGATGGACCACTAACAGTGCAGGGTGGGGCTGGCACTGTGGTATAGCAAGTAAAGCTGCCGCCTGCAGTGCTGGCATCCCATACGGCTGCAGGTTCAAGTCCTGGCTGCTCCACTTCCTATTCAGCTCTCTGCTATGGCTTGGGAAAGCAATAAAAGATGGCCCAAGTCCTTGGGCCCCTGCACCCACATGGGAAACCTGGAAGAAGCTCCTGGCTCCTGGCTTTGGATCAGCGCAGCTCTGGCCATTGCAGTCATCTAGGAAGTGAACCAGTGGAGGAAGACCTCTCTGTCTCTCTCTGTCTCTCTGTCTCTCCCTCTCTCTGTAACTCTTTCAAATAAAATAATCTTTAAAAAAAAAAAAAAGGAATGGATCTTATGCTATGTGAAATGCAATAAAGCTATTGTTTTAAAAATTTAACTATTTTTAATGGAAAATGTCTACATAAAAAACATTAAAAAGTTAAAAGACCATAGACTAGGAGAAGATACCTGCAACTTTTATAACCCATAATGATTAATATTCAAATATAAAGAATTTTCGGGGCAGTGTCGTGCACAGGGGTTAAGCTGCTGCTTGTGATACTGGCGGCCCATATCCAAGGGCGGTGCCGGTGCCAGCCTTCTGCTGACGCTCCTGGGAAAGCCCAGAAGATGGCCCACGTGCTTCAGTCCCTGCCACGCACGTGGGAGACCTGGATGACGCTCCTGTCTCCTGGCTTCAGGCAGGCCCAGTACCGGCTGTTGCTGCCAAGTGGGGAGTGAACCAGCAGATGGAAGATCTCTCTCTCTCTGCCTCTCCTTCTCTCTCTGTCACTCTGCCTTTTAAATAAATACATAAATCTTAAGAAAAAAATAATTTTCAAGAAGAAAAAATGGCCAAATACATGAAGTCGTTTGCTTGCTCAGACAATATGAACACTCAGCCTCACAGCAATCACCGAATCTGACTTGGAACAGTTTTGTGACACTTCCACACCCACCAGTTTGGCAACAGTTAGAGGCTGACGTCAGGAAGAGGACAGACTTACTTTGAACGCGCCCTCTGACTCCATGGATAAGAGATCCCCATCGAATGGGATGAGGTCTAAGCTGTACTCCTCCCTGTGAATAAAAGAGCCCAGAACACCCAGGTCCTTCAACCGCTGTTCGCACAGCAAGCTCCGGCGTGGCACAAACAAGATGTGGAAGTCTCTGGTTGGGCCACGTCTGTCTTCGCTGCAAAGGAAACACAGTCGTTACTTCACGGGCTCCTCGGAGGTGCGATCTATTTTGCTTATTTCACCCCCACTGCCTGGCACCCAGCAGGCACCAGCTGAGTGCTGGCTGGTACGCCTATGGCTCCTGACTCTCAGACCCAAAGCAGGACAGCCGCTGCTCCCTCTCCACGCGCGCCAAGGAGGGCAGCGCTCAGTCACAGCCCGCACTTCAGCACTCTTGCTAAGCATGCATGGGACACGAAGGCTCCGAGGCTTACTGACATAGGCTATGTGTGTCTTAACTGAAAACAAGCAGATCTTCACCCAAACCGATGCAGCCACACAGCCTCACGTGTGCATGGAAGACCACCCCAGCTCCCACCTCGACTCCCCTTGACAGTGAGCTGCCAAAAATAGTCTGTATGCTTTTAAGACTTTAGGGGCTCCATCGATCAACTGCACCACAGAGTGCAGACTGTAGACCAAGCTTCCTTTGAAGACTGGATGCTATATTAAATTTTAATCAGCCCTCGTTTTGCTTATGCAATTCATATATAATTCATTAACAATATACTGAAAAATAACCATTAGAGCTTTGTTGGTTTCTTTTCTTTTTTTAAATCAGAGTCCTTTTTATTGATATAGGTTCAATTTCCAGCTCAGGACACGGAAGCTATTCTAAGAATCGATCTAATTTCTCCTAGACCAAAATGAGCTCTAAGATACCTGAGCACATTTTCAGCGATGATATCCATTAATTCTAGCCGGGGTCTGACAAAGAAAATAATATTCTTGACATCAGCTGCTGGCAAACGACTTCCTTTAAGTGTGAACATTTTTTCTACTTCATGTTCCTGGAAAACATACACAGAAAAAATTAACAAAAACCTGAGGTTGACTTGGCATTTCCAAACCCAGAAAATTATAAACACTTCCAATCAAATGCATATCAGCATTTTATTACTAAAATTTAGAATCCCCCCCAAGCCGGCACTGTGGCATAGCGAGTAAAGCTGCCATCTGCACTGCCGCATCCCACATGTTTGCTGGTTTGAATCCCAGCTGCTCCACTTCCAATCCAGCTCCCTGTTAATGCATCTGGGAAAACAGTGGAGGATGGCCCAAGCACTTGGGCCCTGCACCCACATAGGAGATCTGGAAGCTCCTGGCTGCTGGCTTCAGATCAGCTCAGCTCCAGCCTTTGCAGCCATTTGGGGAGTGAACCAGCAGATGGAAGAGCTCCAACTCTTTCAAATAAGTGAAATAAATCTTAAAAAAAAATTTAGTTCCCCCCAAACCAAATATGAAGGTACTTCGAAAAATTTGTGGAAAACAGAATTAAAAAATGAGCTTATTTTGGATAAAAAAAAAAAAGATTTGAAATTCTTGTGTACAAAGGTCTTCCTTCACAAAGTTTTCAGAGGAGATGGCATGGTAATGGTATAGCCAGTCCAGCCACTACTGACATCCTGGCACCACTGGCATTCTGTATCAGAGCGCTGGTTTGAGTCTTGGCTGCTCTGCTTCTGATCCAGCTCCCTGCTGTGGCCTGGAAGAGCAGCGGGAGTTGGCCCTGGCCCAAGTGCCTAGGTCCCTGCACCCGCATGGGAGACCTGGATGGAGCTCCTGGCTTTGATCTGGCTCCGCCCTGGCAGCTGCAGCCACTTGGGGAGTACACTAGTGGATGGAAGATCTCTTTCTCTGTCTCTCCCTGTCTGTCGCTCTGCTTTTGACATAAATAAAACAAAACCTTTTAAAAAGGGGCTGGAGCTGTGGCACAGTGGGTTAACGCCCTGGCCTGAAGTGCTGACATCCCATATGGGCACCGGTTTGAGACCCGAGACCCAGCTGCACTACTTCCAAACCAGCTCTCTGCTGTGGCCTAGGAAAGCAGTATACGATGGTCCAAGTCCTTGGGCCCCTGCATCCACGTGGAAGACCCAGAAGAAGCTCCTGGCTCCTGGCTTTGGATCGGCACAGCTCTGGCCGTTGCAGTCAACTGGGGAGTGAACCATCGGATGGAAGACCTCTCTCTCTCTCTCTCTCTCTCTGCCTCTCCTCTCTGTGGGACTCTGACTTTCAAATAAATAAATCTTAAAAAAAAAAAAAAAAAAGTTTATAGAAGGGGCCAGCGCTATGGCACAGTGGGTTAAAGCCCCAGGCTGCAGCACCAGTGTCCAATATGAGCGTTGGTTTGAGTCCCGGCTGCTCCACTTCTGATCCAGCTCTCTGCTACGGCCTGGGAAAGCAGTGGAAGGTGGCCCAACTCCTTGGGCCCCTGCACCTGCATGGGAGACCTGGAAGAGGCTCCTGGCTTCAGATCAGCACAGCTCCAGCCGTGCGGCCAACTGGGGAGTGAACCAGCAGATGGAAGACCTCTCTCTCTCTCTCTCTCTCTATGGCTCTACCTCTCTCTGTAACTCTGTCTTTCAAATAAATAAAATAAATCTAACAAAAAATTGTATGGAAAATGCTATTACAAAAATTTTGGGTTTCAAAAATTTCTTGCACCAAAATAAATTTATTTTTTAATTCCTCTTTCCATGAATTTCTGAAGAGCTTCTATGCATAAAAGACAAAATTTCAGGATAATGTCACTATTGGTGCACCAGCATTCAAATGACTGTCATTCAATAATCTATCAAAGACATCAGGTAATGGTCACACATTATAATGCTAGAACAGCACAGACCACTGAACGGAAAACGTCAATCACACAACAGATTCGGTGTTTTGTTTATTCTTCTGAGAGGCAGAGAGAGACAGAGCTCTTGCCTGCTGGTTCACTCCCCAAGGCCTGCGACAGCAGAAGCCAGGACACAGGAATTCATCCCAGGCCTCCCACCAGGGTGGCAGGAACCCAACCCCCTGAACCATCACCACTGCCTTCCAGGGTCTGCATCATCGCCAGGCGGAGTCAGAGCAGAGCCGAGTGCCGCAATCAGGCACCCTGATACGGGCTGCAGGTGTCGACCGCGACGCCAAACGCCTGCCCCACGTTCAGCATCAAACAGCTGTGCAAGCCACATACTCAGATACTGCTAACGTCCACAGTTACAATCCTGGAACGAACCCCAGAGAGCTCACTTACCTTCAGTAGTGAGTACTGTGCAATCAGGCCAAATGGTCCTGTTAAGTACTCATCCCAAACTATTGCCTGTGAGAGGGGAGAAACATTGCTGTTACAGCCAATCTCGGGAATTTCAATAACACCAACGCAAAACAGCGATCCTGCACAGCAGGAGTATTTACGTCAAACTCTCGAGTCCAAAACTGCACTGGGCTCTGACCACATCATTAAGGAGCAGGTCATGCCCCCGCAGCCCGACGGAGGCTGAGCTGGCCACTGCTCCCACACGAAGAACAGTTGGTTGTGCACCTGTCACTGTTGGACGAAACTGTATGGGGGGGCCGGTGCCCTGGCTCACTTGGTTAACCCTCCGCCTGCGGCCCGGCATCCCATATGGGCGCTGGGTTCTAGTCCCGGTTGGGGCACTGGGTTCTAGTCCTGGTTGCCCCTCTTCCAGTCCAGCTCTCTGCTGTGGCCTGGGAAAGCAGTGGAGGATGGCCCAAGTGCTTGGGCCCTGCACCCGCATGGGAGACCAGGAGAAGCACCTGGCTCCTATTTGGCGAGCGAACCTACAGAAGGAAGACCCTTCTCTCTGTCACTCTCTGTAGCTCTACCTGTCGAATGAATAAATAAAATCTTTAAAAAAAAACTACACGGGGAAATGTCAGTTACACAGCACCATCAATCTTACTTTGACGGGCGGCCTCGGGGTTTCGGCACCTGTCCAGGTCCTTGGACCTCATGAACGTACTGACAGGGAGCCAAAGCCCCAGCCCGCGACCTTGGGACACCAGACCATTGCTCCGGGGCCGCCCGGGCATCTCTACGCTACACTCCAGCATCATGCCTTTTTCTAACTGAAAGATCTTAAACAGCTGGAAACCGACACTCAGTTGACAGACAACGGGGATTTCTACGCACAGAGGAAGCAACGTTTTGCAGAACTTGAATACACAGCCAGGACGCAACCCGCGGTTTTAGATTTCTGTGACATTTGCGGAGTTTAAACTGCACCCCTACGGTTTAGCCTGCTTTATTCGCTCAACCTCCTGTCTACCCAGGCCTGGTTCCTGAGGCTCCCGGCTGCACCGCCAGGCTCTCGGGGAGAGGAAACACCGCTTCCGCCCCGTGAAGCCCCGGGCTCCAGTTCTGAGCCCGGCGAGCTTCCCGATTCAGGCGGGCCAGGTCAGAGCCCCATCGTGCGTGCACGGAGGCTGTGGGTGCTGGTGCTTCAGGGGTGCTGCGGGAGTGGGAGCCCTCAGAGCCCCCTTCTCTGAAGGGCTGGGGTCCTCTGAACTCAGAGACCAGGAGGCAGGGAGGGGAGGGAGGGTACGCCCGGCGCCGGCACTGCCAGCGGAGGGCCTCGGGCCGGGCTCCGATCCGCTTCTGCAGACCCGGAGGGCGCGCGACGCGCCCCCATCCCCCGCGCTGCGGCTCCCTCCGCGGTGTCAGAACACCGACTGCCGGCTGTCGCCCAGGCTCTCTCGGCTTTGCACGCGGGCGCGGGGCTCCTTTCTCCGCAAGCCCCCGGGAGCTCAGGGGTCAGGGGCCGGGTAAGACCCAGCCGGACCGAGGGCGGCGGCGCTGCCTCCGGCCCCTCACCTTGCTTCCCGCGCACTTGTCCAGGAACTCGCGCAGCTCGCGGCGCACTGCCTCGCGCAGCACGTTCAGGTTCACTCGCCCGTAGGACAGGTGCGCCGCCATGTTCCCCCCGCCCCGCCCCCGACTCCAACGGCGTCGGGCCCCTCAGAGCGCCGGGCGCACGCACCCTGGTCACGTGATTGACCTGTCCACGTGACCAGAGCGGCTGGCGCGCGCCAAAACCCGGAAGTGACACTCCGCCTTCCTGCCGTCTGGCGTCCGTCCCTTTCCGCTTTGTCGCAGCCTCAGAAGTTGGCCGGGGCCGGCCCGTTTCAGATCCTACCTTACAACGGGCGCTGACGAGGGGGGTTAAAAAATGAGCTGCTGTCAGGCGACCCGCCTAAAAATTGCGACTTCTTTCTCAGCAGCAAGGGAACTTGGTATAAAGTGGCAACTTAAATGGAAGTGTTTTGAATTATGTTCCTCAAAAGGCCCTAAACTTCGCACTAGTTAAGGTTCTTGGGGCTTGGGGGGCTTCTTCGGCCCGGGGCCGTCAGCGCGGGACTGCAGCACCAGCTGGGTCAGGGAGGTGCGCTGGTTGCCTGGCCTAAGGCTGTGAGGCCCCGGGGGAGGTGAGTGCGATCCTGCCTGTCAGTGACAGGCTTAGCGGGGGGCCGCGGAGAGGGGGACACTGAGGACCCGCATTTCGAGACTTTGGGGTGGAAACGGGCCGTTCGGGATCGGGTCTCGGAGGCTGGCTGGGCGGTGGCCGCGGAGTGCCCAGCAGTGAAATGGAGGCGACGCAGGCGGGCAGCCAGCCGGGTCGTTCCCCTTCCAGAGTGGCTGGCGAGCCGTCACCCGCGCAGACGCCTCTGGTCTGGGCTTTTGCTCAGCGGGGACTGCCTTGGGGACATCGTGAGAACACACGTGGAGCTTAGCGGGCCAAGTCTGAGCTGTCAGGAGGGTGCCAACGGCTCCCAGAGGAGACCTGCGCAGGATGAAGGAAGCCCACGCATTCCCTCGCTTACCGCCGCACCACAACGCAGCCCCTACAACGGATTTTAAAAGCATCTACTTGACCGCAGGGACCCTGCAAGCTGACACCCACTGGCTCACTCCCTAAATGCCTGCAGCGCCTGGGGCGGGGGGCGGGAGGGGCCCAGGAGCTCAGTGCAGGTGTCCCACGTGTGGCAGGGAGGGGACCCCGGCACCCACCCCACAGGCCCGCAGGTGGTCAGGTCTCCCAGATCAAGAGAGATCGCTGTGCTGCTACAGGTGGCGTAGAAATAGTACTCGTGGCCGGCGCCGCGGCTCACTAGGCTAATCCTCCCCCTTGCAGCGCCGGCACACCGGGTTCCAGTTCCGGTCGGGGCGCCGGATTCCGTCCCGGTTGCCCCTCTGCCAGGCCAGCTCTCTGCTGTGGCCAGGGGGTGCAGTGGAGGATGGCCCAGGTGCTTGGGCCCTGCACCCCATGGGAGACCAGGAGAATCACCTGGCTCCTGGCTTTGGATCAGCACAGTGCGCCGGCTGCAGCGGCCATTGGAGGGTGAACCAACGGCAAAGGAAGACCTTTCTCTCTCTCTCTGGCTCTCTCTGACCACTCTGTCAAAAATAAAAAAAAAAGTACTCGCGTCCTCTGATCACCTGAGGTCAACACTGAATTGAGACCTGACTTTAGGGTATTATATAGGAAAGGTAAGATGTATGCAAATGAGCAAGAACTCTTCCATCTGCTGGCTCCTCCCCAAAAGGCCACAATGGCCCTGCTAGGCCAGGCTGAAGCCAGGAACCTGGAATTCCATCCAGGGGCCCAAGTACTTGAGCCGTCATCTGCTGCTCACGGGCGCAGTAGCAGAGAGCTGGATTGGAAGTGGAGCAACCGGGACTCCGGCGCCCTTGTGGGATGAGCCCCGTAACGTTCTCGCCAAAGTAGTAATTCTGCTTTGGAGACACGGTGGATGGACCCGTCTTTATCAAACCCATGTTCATAAGTTTGGCACTGAAATGGTTCAGTGATCATTTTTGTAAATTTCCATGGGTTAATAAAAATAGTCGCTACTACATGGTACCAATGGTACCACATATGTTTGTCATGTAATGGGATACAACAAGGGTAACAACCTTAGGTATTTAATGCTAAATGGGTCACTAAACACTGATAAAACCAGTTTCTTAAAAGCTATTTAGCAAAAAGACTGCAACAGAATTGCTATTCGGACCTGCAGAGTTTGCTTATTTGAAGAAAAACCACTGTAGAAAATACAGCAGGTAATAATGAATTTACTACCACTGACAAAAAGAATACCCATTTATTAAAGTAGATACAGAACACTTTTTTTGCTCAAGTTTTAATACTGCTTTACATGTTTTGTTTGTGAAACAGTTCCTATTATCTTCGTAACTAAAAATTTCACTGGCAATAGATGTATTTAATATTCACTTGTCCAGCACACAGTTGATCATCTTGAGGGGAAAATACAACAAAGGCATATATACAGTTATAGAAGTTCTTATTTATTATACATGTAGCGTGGAATACACATTTGATGACTTTGTACATATTTTAGAAGACATTCAAATGAAGAGAAATGGATTCAGATTGGTTGATGAACTGTTCTGATGGTTGAGGTCCTTCATTTTTTTTGTGATAAGAAAATCCAAAATTATTGTTGAATTTCTCATCATACATTCATCTAAAAACACAGTAAAAAACCTTGTAAAGGAAGACTGTAGATTGTTTAATTTTGGTGCTGTCTAGTGGCTTAACTGACTGCTGGAGATATCTGCTAAAGAAAGAAAATGGAGAAAATTCTTCTAGTTGGGGATGGTAAACAAAATAAAAAGGGAAAAACAGTTGCGGAGCCACCTGATGCTATTTTTGTCCTAGTCTATTATGTCGCAATGCTCATTTTAAGTATTTTCTTTTTCTTAAAGGTAAAAATCTGAAAAGAAAGACACATTGTGTATGTTTTTTCCCAAAATATAGATTTTTTAAAAAAATATGTACATATAATATATGGAAGCTGAACTTATGCAAAACCAATAAACAGGACAGCACAGTAGAGAAGTGGGTGCAGCATATAGAGTATAAAATGGCCCACAGCAGGCGGGGGCCTCTCCCTCCCTTCACCTGTTCCATGATTTTGTAATCACACCTGCTTGTCATCAAGCCTGATAAAAAGGCACTACTGATAACAGGTAGTGCAAAGAGCTCAGGTATTTCTTTGATTAGCAATAAAATACTTTAAATGAGTCAATGAAAATGCAAAATGGTACATTTTTCAACTCATTCCAGTGTCAAAGCTTCACCAAAAAAAAAAAAAAAATCTAAATATACAAAAAATGCAGCCTGCAAATATTTTAGTGCAAATACGAAAAGTAACGGCATAATTTAAGTTACTTAAATAGGGCGTCGTGAGGGGGAGGATGGTTCTGGGAGGCTTCTCTGGGGACAGCAAATGCAACGGCATCTGGTGCAGCGTCTTCAACCGAAAAAGCAAGAAAACAAAGTCGGGGTGAAGACTCACCTACCGAGTGTTTATCAGTCTAACTTACGAGGGGGGACTAAAGGGCGATTTGTTCAAGATCAAAATACTTTCTTAGGTTTGTTGGTGGGGGTCGAAAATATCGTGAGCTCTCGCGCAGTCTGCGCCGGTGCTGGTGTGGGCTGCCTCGCCGCGGAGTCCGAGCGGCCGTTCGGCCCCAGACGCCGTCAGAAGGTCTCGTCGTCGTTGCAGTTGGTTGCCCAGTGCCCAAACATCTCACAGATCTCGCAGTACGGGCGCTCCTCGCTCCGGCTGCCGTGGTGCGTGGAGTGCGGAGGGTCTTCCGCCATCTGTGCCTGGGTGGGACAATCCTCCGTGTCGTGGAGGTCGAAGCAGTCACAGATGTCACAGAAGAGGCGGGGTTTCTTCTTGGACTGTCTCTCCTGGTCATCACTGCAGATGTTAACGGAAAAGCGGGAACTCTATCAGGACGAATTCTAGGGGCAGTTAACACTTGGAAATAATTTTTAAAAATAAGCAAGAACTAATTACAGCGCAGTCTGTGAGTCTCGGGTCTTAGAAGCTTCTCTCTGGCCAGGTTTGCAGATGTCTACTTGCGGCAAAGAAACCACAAGCAGTTTCTGTTTTCACAGTCTACTAATGTAACTTTTAAAGCACACTGATTTCAGGGCCAGCGCTGTGGCACAGGGGGCTAAGCCTCTGCATGCAGTGCCGGCATCCCATATGGGCACCAGTTCTAGTCCTGGCTGCTCCTCTTCTGATCCACCTCTCTGCTGTGGCCCGAGAAGGCAGTGGAGGATGGCCCAAGTGCTTGGGCCCCTGCACCCCGCCACGTGGGAGACCCGAAAGAGGCTCCTGGCTCCGGGCTACGGATCGGCTCAGCTCTTGCCACTGAGGCCGTTTGGGGAGAGAACCAATGGAAGGAAGACTTTTCTCTCTGTCTCTCCCTCTCTCTGTCTGAACTCTACCTCTCAAATAAAATAAAGAATAAAAAAATAAAACATTGATCTCGATGGCTGCAGTCCACAGGGCCTATAAATGGTACCTGTCATAGCTGTTCAGGTCCTCGCCGTTCCCGTTAAGGGCTGCTTCCGACATCATCTCCACCTTCATCTTGAGGTCTTGGTTCTTCCTTTGCAGGTCTACTATCACTGAATTTAGGAAATCAATCTGATTTAAAAAAAAAAAAAAGAAGATATATAAAAGTGTAAAACACACTCAACCTTGAGTATGAGGAAGTCGTAACGTTTCACCCTCACGCTACAGAGTGTGGGGGACATCACAGAGGGGCCAAGGCGGCCGTTCCAGTCTCCGTGAGGATCAGGGACGCGGGGACCGTTTTGGTTGAAGAGCTGCGCTTGAACCAGGGCACCCCTACGAGAGGTGCTGTAGAGATTTCTCTCCCCCTTCTCCCTTTCAATCCCCTGGAAGTGTTTAACGCAGCAGGTGCTGTGTTCCATTGAAAAGCACTGAAAATTCCCTTTCAGTATCTCGCACTCTTCAGAAGTCAATCTTAAAATCTAGACACATGGGCTTACGTTCTTCTCCTTCTGCCACATAAAAAATATATGCACAATTTTGAAAAGGCTTGAGAGGTTAGTTCTTCATTTTACACTAGAACCAACCCAGGACTTCAGATTTAAGGCTAATGGGATTTCTAGCCAGCCACTCATTGGTAGTGGCAAGGAAAAAGACCCTGTCATCAAGGTGCGGGTGGCAGGTCTTCAAAGGGAAGCTGAGGACAGACACTGCACAGGCCGACTTGGACGTGCTCAGAGCACCTGTGCCACGACAGGGCAGGGGGACGGTGAGACGGGCCTCCCAGCAATCACTTCTGAACCAGAAGTGTTTTCATTTCTCTAAAAAAAGGTCTTGGGGCTGGTGCTGTGGCCTAGCAGGTTAGGCCTCCACCAGCAGCACCGGCATCCCATGTGGGTCACGGCTGCCCCACTTCTGATCCAGCTCCATGCTAATGTGCATGGGAGAGCACTGGAAGATGGCCCAAGTCCTTGGGCCCCTGCACCCATGTGGGAGACCTGGAAGAAGCTCCTGGCTTCAGATCGGCCCAGTTCCAGCCGTTGTGGCCACTTGGGGAATGAACAAGAAGATGGAAGATCTCTCTCTCTCTCTCTCTCTCTCTCCGCCTTTCAAATAAATAAATAAATAAATCTTTTTTTTTAAAAAAAAGTCTTCCCTTTTCTACAAATAATAAAAAGATCTCATTTCTCTAAGTTGAAAGACCCGAGTTTACAATATTAAAATACGCATCTGTGCAGTCACACGCATTCATCCATACACAGCGCTGTGTGTGACTTTACAGGGGCGCATTCGGCCTCCCGTTGGGCAGGCTCCCAGCTGCACTCAGCCGCCTCTGTGGTCTGCCCTGGCACAGCACTGGCACAGCACCCTCCTGGCATCGCCAAGGGCACTTCAAAGACTTCTTGGAAAAGTATTTTGGTGCAAAGAAGTTTTGAAATCTAACCGTGGCTTTTTCACCATATGCACTTTCCACGAACTTTTTTGAAGGCTCCCTGCATTTTCACTTCTCAAGCTGCACTTTCTAAAGTCATTCTCCTGCTACAAGCTCTGTTTCAGGAAGAAGAAAAAGCCACAAAACAGACGGAGAGAGAGTGGAAACCACATGCACACACATACGCACACGTGCACACACACAAATTAGGAAACGTAAAACAAACCATTTGCTGATGGGAAGAAAAGTGTTGTCGGCAGCAGATGAAACGAACGGAAGCAGAGAGGCAAGGAGGGAGAGAAAACATGGTTAATACACGTCACAGCTGTGAGACACACGGTGCGGGACAGCGCAGGAACGCGGCACCCTGCCCAGCCCTTTCCTGCCCCTCCGAGGAGACGACAGATAAGGAAGCAAGCTCACATCAAGAGCATGTGTTTGATCTGACTTCTGAACAGGATGAAAATGTACAAAATACACTGTTACGATGGCGCCAGTCCTTGGGCCCCTGCACCCATGTGGGAGACCGGGAAGAAGCTCCTGGCTCCTGGCTTTGGATCAGCCCAGCTCTGACCGTTGTGGCCATTTGGGGAGTGAAATCAGTGGATGGAAGCTTGCTCTCTCGCTGTCTCTCCCTCTCTCTGTAACTCTACCTCTCAAATAAATAAAATCTTAAGGGGGGGGGGAAAGAGATGCGCAAAGCACCCATTGGCAGAGCAGTCCTACTTCTTGGACTTTATCCTGCAGGAATACGAGTCCAGGTACAAAATGACAGCTGCCGAAGACAGCTCCTCTCGGTGTTTATAACAGACCTACATTCAACCAGTAGGGAGCAGACTAAATTAGGCACGTCTGTGTAATGGAATACTACACAGCTACAAAAAGGATACAAGCGGTGTATGTAGTATGCCATGATCATGCAAACAACAGGGAGGGAGACTGAGCTCGTATGGCTCTAACAGGGAGGGAGACTGAGCTCGTATGGCTCTAACAGGGAGGGAGACTGAGCTCGTATGGCTCTAATGCACATTTCCTAAAATCTTCGGGAAGGAGACTATACCAGTACCGACCTGTTTGGGGCTTGGAAACCGAGCAGAAAGGAGACAGGGTTTGGAGGCAGGTATTGCACTGTCTATTTTTAATACTCACTGTGTGGAACAGGAATGCACTGCCCTTTCCAAATATTAAGTGGTTTTGAAAGAAACAAGACAGCCGGCGCCGCAGCTCACTAGGCTAATCCTCCGCCTTGCGGCGCCGGCACACCGGGTTCTAGTCCCGGTCTGGGCGCCGGATTCTGTCCCGGTTGCCCCTCTTCCAGGCCAGCTCTCCACTGTGGCCCGGGAGTGCAGTGGAGGATGGCCCAAGTGCTTGGACCCTGCACCTGCATGGGAGACCAGGAGAAGCACCTGGCTCCTGCCATCGGATCAGCGCGGTGCGCCGGCCGTGCCAGCCATTGGAGGGTGAACCAAGGGCAAAGGAAGACCTTTCTCTCTGTCTCTCTCTCTCTCACTGTCCACTCTTTCTGTCAAAAATAAAGTAAAATAAAATAAAGAAACAAGAAGGAAAGCGCGAGGGAGCAGTGACTACCTGGCTCTCCTGGGCTCTTTCGTCCTCTTCTGCCTGAGTGTCCGTGTTACCTGACATCACACAAAGGAGACAGAGGGGAGGCGGGTTTTAACGCTTCACGTGGACTTCCTGGGAGCACCACAGCCCTAAGGGGTCGCACTGACCCCAACCCCGCCCGCCCGTTCAGGCTTCTCCCTCAGGCCAACCGCCCTCTGGGTGAGGCCACCTGTCCCCCAAAGGGCTCCCTCTCCCCCAAGGCCCTGCCCCCTCAGAGGCCAGGGGTGCTGCTGGGATGGCGGCTGTCACCCACCCTCTCAAGGTGACAGCACTCACAGAGCCCAGGAAGGCCCAGGGGGGACAGCCGGGGAGAGCCGAGGCCCGCGCCGCCCGGCCCGGGAGGGGACAACCGGGGAGACCTGAGGACTGCGCCGTGGCGGCCCAGGAGTGGACAGCCGGGGAGAGCCGAGGCCCGCGCCGCCCAGCCCGGGAGGGCACAGCCGGGGAGAGCCAGGCCTGCGCCGCCCTGCCCGCGGCCGTGCCGCCGCCTTACCGGAGGAGCTGCTGAGCTGCCTCTTGTTCTCTCTGAGCTGCAGCTCCAGGTTCTTCACCTTGAGCTCGAGCTTCACCTTGTCAGACTCCAGAGACTGCACCACGGAGTGCAAGGACTTGGCCGAGGCGCTCTCCCCCCGGAGCACCGTGACCTGAAACACAGGTGTGTCCTGCTCAGGCCGGCCGCGGCGGCACACACACACAGAGGCCGGGCGGGGGCCGCGCGGGGTCCCCACCTCGTTCCTCAGCTTCTCCAGCTCGGCGTCCTTCTCGGTGAGCAGGGCACTGGTGGTACGGATGGATTTCTGCAAGGAGGCTTTCTCTTCATCTGCATCTTGGATGTACTTGGATTCTCTAGAAGACCAAAGAGTTAAACGTCCCGCAGATCAACAGAGTGGGCCGTGTACCCCTGCTCTACACAGACTCGCAGCTTTAACTTTGGTGAATGTGGACAGGGAGAAAAAAAAAAAAAAAGTATGACGGGGGAGTTTTATAGGGGATTAGGGCTATTAAAGGCTCGCAAAATGTCACTTGAAATTTTACTTACTGTGAGGGGAGAAAAAGTGTACCTACGCATAGACATGCCACAGTCTGCGTATCATTTGAACTTAAAGACACAAGTTAATAAGCCTGGAGGATGTAGAATTAAAAACAAAAACCGTACTGAGCTCTAACCCCAAGGTGGATCCTGTTACTTCTGGAGAAATCGTTACCAAGCAGTAACAACAAGTAAAATACAAACATGCAAAGCAGGTAAACAGATGTCATGCAGAGCAGTTTTATGCTGGAAATATCGGTTGGTTCTCACTAATTTCAGTAACTTTTTAGCAAGTTCCGAGAACGTGTTTTAGGATCTCGTGGGCCAAAACGGGCACGCAGGTTATCCCCAGCCTCCCGCTGAGGGGCTGCTCCTCCACAGCCACAGACTCGGAGGAAGACAAGAACTGCTGGAAGGAATGGAGGGTGGCTCCCTAAAGGCTAGGACAGGAGACGCTCACGCAGTTCTCCAGGTGCGGGCGGGCGGGCGAGCACGGGGCTCAGGGAGAAACGTCTATCTGCAGTGTCTGGGGAGTGGGACAAGGATGAGGGGAGAGAAACAGGGATGGGGCGAGCCCACACATGACAGAAGTCCAGGGGCGGGCGGGTGGGACCACTAACCCCAGTGTGGTTTCCCGGGAGAAAAAGGCGTCAGTGGAGATGCTGGGACCGGCTAAACAAAGCCTGTCCCGATCCTGCGCCCTGGGGGTGTAAGATGTTCACAGTGGGTGGGCTGAGTACAGGGCATACGGGACCTGGCTTCATGGCCTTTGCAACTCTCCCGCAAATCCAAAACTACCTTAAAATAGAAGGTGTTTTGTTTTAAATTGCATGCATTGTGGAACACAAGAGAAGAAAACCTGTATTACAAAAATCCCTTAGGACAAACAAAACTGGAGAGAACCGTCACAGGCTAGCCCACAGGCCGTCCCAACCCAAGGCCCTGGTAAGCACAGAGCGTGTAATGGTTCAGCCTATTTTCAGACCGGCTGGAGGAACAGGAGACTGAGGCCCCGGTTAGAAATGGCAGGATGCACTGTCTGGTTAGTGAGACCCAAGATATCCGGCACATGAACTACAGAATTCTCATGGCTCATGGTTAAGTTGAAATTCTACATAAAGGTGGAAATAGAACGTGTCGCGCTTATCTCATTGTGTGGCTTACACTTATACTACAGAATGATAAGTAGTAAGAAAAGAATCTAAGACTGATGGCAATTTCTTGAATTAAAAAACCCAAGCACTTCATGCACACCAGGAAGGGGTGTGCGTCAGTGCTGTTACACCACCAAGTAACACCTCGAGAGGAAACGGGACCCTGGTGAGGTTCAAACAGAGCAAATGTAAATGTTTAGAATTTGTTTTCATTATTTATTTGGAAGGCAGAGACAGATTGCAGATCTGCAGATTCTCTCCCCAAACGCCCACAACAGCTGGGGCTGGGCCAGGTCTCCCATGTGGGTGGCAGGGGCCCAGGCTCTTGAGCCACCACGTGCTGCCTCCCAGGATTCGCTTTAGCAGAAGCTGGAATCAGGAGCAGAGCCAGGACTCAAACCCAGGCCCTCCAATACGGGTGCAGCTGTCCCAAGTGGCATCTTAGCTGCTATGCCAGACATCCACCCCCAAACAGCACCACAAATGCAAGAAATGGGGGGCAGGGGTGAGGTGCAGTGGGCTACGCTGCTGCCTGCAATACCAGCATCTGATACCAGAGCAGCAGCTTCAGTCCTGGCTGCTCGGCTTCCAACCCACCTTCCTGCTAATGTGCCTGGGAGGCAGATGACAGCCCAGTAGTTGGGCCCCTGGCACCCATGTGGGGGACATGGGTGGAGTTCCTGGCTCCCGGTTTCAGCCCGACTCAGCCCTAGCTGTTGGGTCCTTCTGCAGAGTGAACCAGCAGATAGAAGATCTCTCCCTCTCTCTCTCTCTCTTTCTCTCTCTGCCTCCTTCCCTCCCTCCACCTCTGTCACTCTGCCTTTCAAATAAATAAATAAATGAAGAATGCCAGGTATTTTTGGCCACATATCTGATGCTATCCAACGACACAGTATGTCTTGGGCTCCTCAAGTTCCTATTAAACTTATTTAGCTGTTGATTCTACTATAAAAACAATTTCCAGAGCTTCACTCATTATGAATGCAACTGAAATTTTAACAATGTGACTTTAAGTGTTTCAGGGAGCAATACCAAGGACTGAGGGCTGTTGATACATCTCGATTCCCTTACAATCAGGAGCTGCTGGCTGAGATCCCAGACACTTGGTGCTGGGGAAGGATGGGCAAGCTGCCAGCTGGCTGAAGGGAGCAGGGATGGGTGTCCTCCCGGGCTCCTCCCCGCCTGCCTGCCTGCCCCGCACACACCTCCCAGCCGGGCTGCCTCCACAGCACAGCAGACACACGATGAAGGGACACACCAAAGGACAGGACAAGCACACCAGAGCAGCTCACACTCGCAGATCCTCGCTGCTGGCTTCTGTGGCCATTTCTAAGCCCTAATTTCTCAGCACAAACCAGGAGGGGCTAAATCAAACCATTTATGCCGACATTACACCCAAGTCCCATGTCCTATTCCGTTTGAGCCGGTTAAAAGGACTCAGTATTACAAAAACACAAAGAGGGAAGAGAAAGCTAACGTGGAAGAAAAGCTACAGGGCGAGAGATCTTTCCCTCTTCCCGGCCAGAGGGACCAGATCACCCAGATTCTTTTCTTACTACTTATGTAAGAAATAAATTCCAGTAATGAAGCAAATTCCTTAAAGTGTTACTGGCCAAGCTTTACAAATGCAAGGTAACAGGAACCAAATATTAGAAACATGAAGAGAAATGCAAATACAGTGAGAACTAAATTTGCACTGAGTTCTTTGCTGTGTGCAGGTACCAAAAAGAAAATGTGTGTGTGTGTGCACGCGTGTGTACTGCTAAGAATATTTTACAAAACAAAAGCAAGACACAGAGGGACAAAGGCAGCCAAAAAATGTATACAACAATCTGGTTTACTAAAAATATATGAAATTTATTTATCATAACGTGGATAGACTTTCTTTAGTCTTACCATTAAAGACACACAGATATAGCAAAGGAAGCAAGAGTAGGAAAGGGAAAAGAGAGGGGTGAGGTGAGCATCGATCGCAGCGCAGGCTCGGAGACAGTCAGACAGTCAGCAACCCACAGAGCGCGGGGGGCGGGGGCCCGGGGGCCGCCATCCTGGGAGACCCGCAGTGACTCCAGCACAACTAATCCTGACCCCCGAAAGCCCAGGCCCAAGACCTTGGTGTCCCTTCGCTGACAGTGACCAGCCAGGGGAAAGGAAGGGGCAGGGGTGCTCAGAGGCAGGGCCCTCCCACCCCAGCCAAGTCCTGGGAGCCACAGTCCCGGCTGGCCCTGCTCTCTTGGTTACGCGTCTTGCAGTCTCTCTGGAGAGAGGTTTGCCCAACTTGGAGATCAGTTTTCAAAGAGATGGTTATACTCTTATGTTTGGAGAAAAACTTTCACTACGTATTGCTTGCAATTCAATGTTTGCAGACACCAAAATAACACAACAGATACAGGAGGACGCTGCTGACTTCTTAAGGATAACTAGTCTCTGCGCTTCAATGTCACGGCCTCAGGTAAGTGTTACAAACTGTCTCACCTACTGCTGGGCGGTTACCACTTCTCAATTACACTGTTACTTCAACGTTCCGTGTTTACCTGAACAGCCACATGTCAAACACTCTAATGATTTAAGTACTTGCAAAGCTTTTTAATTAAGAGCACATCAAGTTCTTCCTGATGCTCTATGCTCAATAGATTTACTTAACCATAGACCTAAATAGGAATCCTTTACCAAACTGACTTTTAGAAGGCATTTAAAGGTCCAAATTAGCTAAAATACAGTATCATTTTTATCTACGTTTTCTGGTCAAAATAAGCAGTAATTTTCAAGAGAGAGGCCCCTAAACATCAGGGACACAAAAGGGGAACAGAGAGAACAGAGAGAGCCAGGCCAGGGCAGGCTTTCAGTCCCCAATCTGTCCTCTCTCAGAAGTCACATGCCTAACTGTGTTCTGAAAAGCATGCAAATCAGTTAAAGTCACAGGAGGACTAATGGAGCAAGTATCCTGTTTTGTCCTAAAGGCAAACAGCAAATAGCAGTCCCTGAAGCACAGTGAGAGGGGAACTGCACAGAATCTGGAGACTAAAGCCGCATCTGTCACATTAGCCCTGAGTCCCTGGCCAAGCGGCCTAACCTCAGTTTCAAGGTTTTAAAACACAAGCCCTTGGGGCTGGTACTGTGGCATAGTAGGCTAAAGCCTCTGCCTGTAGTGTCAGCATCCCATATGGGTGCCAGTTCTAGTCCCGGCTGCTCCTCTTCCCATCCAGCTCTCTGCTATGGCCTGGGAAAGCAGTGGAAGATGGGCCAGGTCCTTGGGCCCCTGCACCCGCATGGGAGACCTAGAAGAAGCTTCAGGCTCCTGGCTTCGGATCAGCTCAGCTCCAGCTGCTGCAGCCATTTGGGGAGTGAACCAGTGGATGGAAGACCTCTCTCTGTCTCTCCCTTTCTCTACCTCTCAAAATAAATAAAATATTTAAAAAAAGAATACCTTCTTTAAAAAAACAAAACAAAACAAAACAAACAAACAAAAAAAAAAAAACAATGCAAGCCGCACCATCTAATTCACTTCTGGGAACTAGGCAAGGGGAGGGACCCTGTCCCTCGGCCCCTCGGCCCCTCAGCTCACCAGCCTGTCTCCACGTGTCTGTCTGCAGAAAGCCACAGGGCAAGTCACTGCCTCACGTACCCTCGATGATGGCTTACGTGAGATTTTGTTTTTGTTTTTGTGTTTTTAATAAAACCTTAACTGTGTAAAATTAAACACCCCAGGCCCACAGGGGGCAGAGGTCTGCTTGGACAGAGGAACAAGGCCAAGGCCCAGCAGACTTGTCCTGGAACCTGGCCAGGCTGGCAGCGTGGCAGTGGTGAGACACACGTGCGCTATGGAGTGTCAACATGGCCTCAGTGAAATCTGAAAGGAGAATTAATCTAAGTCTGTCTTAACTGAAGACAGAACGGAGGAGCGGCACCCACGGACCACGGCTTGCTGTCCTTTACGAAGCAGCTTATGGAACCCAGGTGTCTTTATGGGCCAAATCAAAGAGGTCTTCAACCCCTAAGTGACCGCCATGCTGGCAGGAGGGGACATGGCCAGTGGAGACACACATGTCCGGCATCAGGAGGACGGGGAGACCTGCCCTGGCCAGGAGAAATAAAACACTTTGGCAAAGCATGGAGGAATTCTATTCCTATTCTTAAAGGTTTGCTTTTTCATTTTTAGTTCTGTTTTTAATAAACAAAAAGCAGGCGCACTCTCGTGATGTACGTCCTGCAGTAACTTATCAGGTAGGACGGGCTGTGTTCTCAGAGACAGCTTTCACTGCACCTGCCAGGCACACAGGGAAGGCACTGAGTGTCTCTGGACAAAAACTGCACACAGTGGAAGGGGGTGTGCACAGCAGGCCACTCTCACCCTTACTCAGACAGGACTGGAAAAGCTACCCTGCATTTCCATTTCAATCTGAATATCAGGGAAGAATAACAGCAGCTATTTCTTAGAATATAAACAGAAGCATTTGAAACAGTGTTACCTATGATTAAACATTAAGCTTTTTATATAACTGAAATTGGTGTTTATATGCACATTGACTACTGTATGTAGAATTACAGTATTTTTAGTCACTGAAACAAGGAGGGAACAGCGGTATTAGACAGTCTGATTGCAGAACACTTCTGAATAAATGCACTGAACGTGGCTTAAATATTGAAGTATTCCCACATCAGCAACAGTGAGACTTCTGCAAATGAACTTTCACAACCTTGTCACACACACACACACACACACACACACACACATACACCGTGAACACAGAAAGCAAGCCTACCTCTTTTTCATTTCTAACAACTGATTATTGAGCACAGATCTTTCTTCTTCCAGCTGGAAAAAAAAAAACACACACAAAAAGGTTCAGTTTGTAGTAAAGCCGCAGAGAGGCCATTTCTCCCCCACACCCCCAGGCTCAGGGCAGCTACGGCAGGTGCTCTCTGCCCAGACAACGATGCAGAGTGGGTGGTCATGAGGTCAGAGGGCATACAGCTATTAATCTCTGCGTCACTCATGGCCAGACGGACTCCCATTCCTCACGGACCTGAAGAACAACGCCCTGAGTAGCACGTGGCACACCCTGAGCGCTCATGAGTGAGGAGTGGGTGAGTGAAAGCTTCGCTGGTGACACGCTCTTCCTTTCTCAAACCACACAACGCGCACAGGGCTGGGGACAGGGGCCTCGCCTGACCCACATGTTAGGTCAGCACCCACTTACGGACTGGCTACCGTATTTCCAGCATTTGTTTCTTACAGGAGAGTTACAGGAGAAATTTCCAGTGGCCGTTTGCATCTAAAATCCTATTCTTAGTCCACAAAGGAGCAGAAAGCAGAGAGAGTCAAGTGGTTCATCGTGAGAAAGAGGAGTCAAGTTTATCCCAAGCCTGCACCACAGCACCGTTTTATCAAACAAAAATTCCAAACCACAGAAGGGTGAAGAGGCTCTCGCTGTGGCTCTGCTTCGTGAATCATGGCCTCAGGAGGGGGTGGTTCCCCAGAGTCCAGAAGCAAAGCCACTAGCTCGTCTGAAGTTACAGATACCCACAGCAGGCACCACCGATGCCCACACTTTAAGGTCTTTTTTTTTTTTTAAAGACTTCTTTTATTTATTTGAAAGACAGTTACAGAGAGAGGTAGAGACAGAGAGAGAGAGAGAGAGAGAGATCTTCCATCTGCTGATTCACTCCCCAAATGGCTCCAACAGTCAGAGCCGGGCCGATCCAAAGCCAGGAGCTTCTTTGGGGTCTCGCACATGGGTGCAGGGTCCCAAAGACTTGGGCCATCTTCTACTGCTTTCCAAGGCACATTAGCAGGGAGCTGGATTGGAAGTGGAGAAGACAGGACAAGAACCAGCACCCATGTGGGATGCTGGCACTACAGGATGGGGCTTTAACCCACTACGCCATAGCACCGGCCCCACTTTAAGGTCTTTTAAAATGACTCTTGGGGCCAGCGCTGTGGCACAGTGGGTAAAGCTGCAGCCTGCAGTGCCAGCATTCCATGTGGGTGCCAGTTTGTGTCTCTCGACTGCTCCATTTCCAATCCAGCTCCTTGTTAATGTGCCTGGGAAAGCAGTGGAAAATGGTCCAAGTCTTTGGGCCCTTGCACCCACATGGGACACCCAGAAGCTCCTGGCTCCTGGCTTCGGATCAGCCCAGCTCTGGCCATTGTGGCCATTTGGGGAATTAACCAGTGGAAAGAAGATCTCTCTCTCTCTCTTTCTCTCTCTCTCTCTCTGCCTCTGCCTAACAAATAAATAAATCTATAAAAACAATTCTTAAATATGTGTATATTTAACATAAACATGCACTTATCATAAATCTAGAGGTTAAAGTACTGGTTTTCTACTGCAGATTCTTTGCTTTCCTAGTCCACTAAGTTTCTTTTTTCTTTTTTAAAGATTTATTTATTTATTTGAGAGTCAGAGTTACAGAGAGAGGGAGAGACAGAGAGATCTTCAATCTGCTGTTTCACTGCCCAGATGGCTGCGATGACTGGAGCTGAGCCGGTCTCAAGCCAAGGAGCCAAGAGCTTCTTCTGGGTCTCCCAGCCCAGCAATTGCATCCGCCACTGCTTTCCCAGGCCATTAGCAGAGAGCTGGATCAGAAGAGGAGCAGCCAGGACATGAACCAGTGCCCATATGGGATGCTGGCACTGCAGGCGGAAGCTTAACCTACAACACCACAGCGCCGGCCCCATCCTCTAAGTTTTTGCTACATGAATAATTCACAGAAATATTTAGAAATTTTTAGAAGGAAAGGAAACAAAAAGCGTAGAAGGCAAATGTTTTTAAGATTTTTTTTTTTACTTGAAAGGCAGAGTTACAGAGATAGAGGGGAGAGATGGGGTTGGGGGGAGAAGGAGAGAGAGATCTTCCATCTGCTGGTTTGTCGCTCCCCCTCTTCATGGAGGAACGACACTAAGCCCTGCCTAGGCTTCATATCCGAGTCACGGCACCATTATGTCGCTCCCCGTCTTCGTGGAGGAACGACACTGGACCCTGCGCTGTTCTTTTGTCTGCTCGGCCCTCCCCGGGTTTGCTGCTGGTTCTTCCCGGGTTGGCTACCAACCCTTCCACCTCCGTGGAAGGGCGGTTCCCCCTGCCACATTCCCCACTTCCGCGGGGGAGCGGCACACCGCCGGCCGGCTCTCTCGGGGGCTGCACAGGTGTTCCCCTTAGATGTTCCTGGTGCATGCCGTCTCTCTCCTCCTTTATAGTCCTCCTCCGCCAATCCTAACTCGGCTGCCCACACGCCGAGTACGCTGCTCTCCTCCAATCAGGAGCAGGATCAGCTCCTGGAGGTCATCACTCAAGTTGGCAAGAGGCAGCTGCATAGAAGCTGTTTTCTTCTCTCCCAGCGCCATATTGTGGGAGAGCAGATGCATAGAATAAGTCTTAATTCCAGTAACTCAGTCCAGTCCGGGTTGCTCCCCACAGATCCTCCTTTCTTTTTATTTTTTGGCGTTGATACGCGCCTGTCTTCGGTGTCCCGCGGCACACACTCTGCTCTGCTTGCTAGAGTTGCCCACAGGTGCTTACAAGTCCTACCAATCAGGCAAACCGAATCCGGGTCCTCTCTTCGCCATGTTGTGAAGAGGTTTTTAGGCGCTGATGCGTGCCTGTGTTCGGTGCCCTGCAGCGCATGCTCTGCTCTGCTAGAACTGCCTGCAGGTGCTTACAAGTCCTATCAGGCAAACCGAACCCAAGCCTTCTCATTGCCGTATTGTGGGGAGACTTATTGATGTTAATTCGTGCCTGTCTTCGGTGACCTGCGGCGCATAAGCTGCTAGCCGCCCGCAGGTGCTTATCGTCCTAATCAGGCAGACCTAATCCAAGCTCTCTCATTGCCGTGTTGTGGTGAGGCCTTTCTCTATTTCTCTATCTCCGGGCATTCCTATCTCTCCTATTTTACTTCTATCTGCCAGCATTCCTATTTCTCTCATTTTACTTCTAAACTTGTATTTCTCTTATCCCCGCGGTTTCCCGGCGCCCGCCCCAAGGCTGCTTCTCGGCACCTGCCCCGCGGCGGCTTCCCGGCTCTGAGCCGCTTCAGCCCGCGCCGGCACCCGCCCTGCGGTGGGCTCCCGGCTCTGCGCGGCTCGGCTTCGCGCGCACACTCCGCAATCTCCACGCCCTTCGCGTCCGCACCACGGCCTCGTGCCAGCCCCGCGTTCCCTATCTATTCACGCCCCGTGCTCTCTCTGCACACGGCGGCTTCCGCAAGTCACACAGCCCCAGCTCACGTTTCCACCACTAGTATTCAATCTAAGTTCCCCGGGCTAACCTGGCGAATTCAACCTAGTTCACGCGTCTGCGCCTTTCGGTCTGGCTTCCCGTCCTTTGCTCCCCGGGCTAATCTGACGGATTCCAACCTGGCGGCCCACGTCTCTCTGCCTCTGGTTCCAGATTTTCGCCTTTTGCCCCCCGGGCTGACTTAAAAGAATCCCAAGATAGCTTATGTCTCCGCTTCAGCCTGCACTCGCGGCTTCATCCTCCCTAACATTTTTCTCTACCCGGTATGTTTCCCTAAGTTTTCTTCCAACAATATTCCTCCCTCATTTCTCCTGGCCTCTCCCCACAGTCCGTATCCAAGTCTAAGTTTCTTATAGGTTTCACTTTCACTTTGAACCTGCAGTCCGTATCTGAGTCTAAGTTTCTTCTTGCTTTCACTTTAAATCCTAACTTCTTTCCCACAGTCCGTATCCGAGTCTATGCCTAGGCTTTCGATAGCTTCTTCCGGCACCTTTTCTGTCCGGCTTTTCCCTAGGCTCTTTGCTAGTCTCTCTCTCCGGTATTTTCCACTTCTTCCCGTTTCTTCCCTCCTAAGTTTCCTATCCGTGTCACGGCACCATTATGTCGCTCCCCCTCTTCATGGAGGAACGACACTAAGCCCTGCCTAGGCTTCATATCCGAGTCACGGCACCATTATGTCGCTCCCCGTCTTCGTGGAGGAACGACACTGGACCCTGCGCTGTTCTTTTGTCTGCTCGGCCCTCCCCGGGTTTGCTGCTGGTTCTTCCCGGGTTGGCTACCAACCCTTCCACCTCCGTGGAAGGGCGGTTCCCCCTGCCACACTCCCCACTTCCGCGGGGGAGCGGCACACCGCCGGCCGGCTCTCTCGGGGGCTGCACAGGTGTTCCCCTTAGATGTTCCTGGTGCATGCCGTCTCTCTCCTCCTTTATAGTCCTCCTCCGCCAATCCTAACTCGGCTGCCCACACGCCGAGTACGCTGCTCTCCTCCAATCAGGAGCAGGATCAGCTCCTGGAGGTCATCACTCAAGTTGGCAAGAGGCAGCTGCGTAGAAGCTGTTTTCTTCTCTCCCAGCGCCATATTGTGGGAGAGCAGATGCATAGAATAAGTCTTAATTCCAGTAACTCAGTCCAGTCCGGGTTGCTCCCCACACTGGTTCACTCCCCAGATGACCACAACAGCTGGGGCTCGGCCAGACCAAGTAAGCTACCTACCACTTGCAACACCAGCATCCCAGATGGGCACTGGTTCAAGTTCCAGCTGCTCCCCTTCCCATCCAGCTCATTGCCAATGTGCCTGGGAAGGCAGCAGAGGATGGCCCAAGTGCTTCGGCCCCTGACACCCATGTGGGAGATCCAGATGGAGTCTCCTGGCTCCTAGCTTTGGCCTGCGCCAGCCCAAGCTGTTGTGGGCATATGGAGAGTGAACCAGCAAACCCAGGAGTCTCTCTCTCTAGAGTTGGTCCCCTATTGACAAATGAATAAAATGTATAATATTAAAAAGACAAAAAAAGTGAGTCTTGGGCAGTATGTGGGATGGCTGGAAATCTCAGACTGCTGGTGGGAATGTAGGACAGTAGTC